AATCATACGTCTCCGATTCCGGAGTTCCTGGCAGGAAGTGGTTAAACAAACGTCATTCCATCTATATATAAGATAGCAATCACTTTGAAATTTAAGATTCATTTCTCCAATTTTTCTGGCAGTGCTTTTTATTTTACGAGTCTAGCCTTAAGAAGTTTTTGCAACAAAATTTCTGGGCACAATGGTGACTGGACAAAAAATGGAGGCTCACCTTCGACTGTAATATTGAATGGGCATGTGTGTGTATTGCCTGCAGAGTCCATGGCTGTACATGAGACTGTATGTACTCCGACACTGAGTGGTGTGTTTACTGCTGGGGTACAAGTTACATCGACCACACCTTCTACACTATCAATTGCTCTTGGTACTGTGTAGGACGCCTTAGCAGTTGACTGCTTGGTGTCCGTGGGTACCCTCATGGCAATTGGGCAATCAAACATGGGTGCTTCATTGTCTGAAAGTCAAAAAAATAAAGAAAAAACAATTCATATGGAATCAATGAAACAGTGATCCAAAGATGATGAGATATTCAGAAGTAGATAACGAGGGGAAATTCTCACCACCGACATCAATAGTAAAGGAGCACTTTTTAGAGTTGCCAGACTTGTCAGTGGCAGAACAGTGAACCGTCGATTTGCCAATTGGAAATCGGGAGCCCGACTCTTTAACACAGTTGACCTGGAGATTAGAGTCCACATTGTCGGTGACGTCTGGTACTGTATAGTTGACGGTGGCATAAGACTTGCTCGGATCAACAGTTTCTGTCATGTTAACTGGGCATTTGAACTTAGGCTCTTCCTTGTCTAAAATCAAAGAAAAGAAAAAAATAATTCATTAAGAATCATGTAAACACCTGACATAATTACTAGCCAACATGGCTCGACGTGACTGAAAACATTTAACATGCATGTACTACAAAATACAGAGAACTGAAAAGTGGATGGCATTGTACCACAAAATCCAAATTTCTCGGCTGAGAATCTTACATGTAACTTTACCCTCTTCATTTTTAAACGCAAAGACACAAGACAAAAATTGGCATCTTGAGTGTCATTTCAGCAAGATTTGTAACATGTTTCTGACCGTATCACCATCTTTGCCATGGACCCAAAATTTAACAGCTACGGCACACGCCCGAGTCAGGGTACCACACATGGCCAGCATCCGCTGACTCTTTGGCCCTTGTGTGTGTGTATGAGACCAATGGTTACACTTAATTGTTGAGGGTTATGCCTAAGTGTAAGGACTCTTGTGGACATTGGCCACAACTTCAGGCCGGACATGATTGTGTAAATTTCAAATTGCAGAGAAAATCATTGTAGGACTTTATGTTCTGATGTGCCTCGTTTCGGTTATTTGACCTAACTGTGCAATAAGTTAAACTTCAAGTCTTTTTCCCATCTAAGCGGGCATGTATCTTCAAACACTTTGATGTTATGAAGCAAAACCAACTCCTCACACATAGCTAACTATTCCAGTATTAAACTGTCATGCTTCAAATGAACGTGTCGGGCACATAGTCTGTTTTTAATTGGCCATGATACTGCCCCGACAGACCAAAACTATATAACCCATAAAGTAAGGAGGAAAACGTCTCTACATTTCACCTTCGACTGTAATGGTGAATGAACATGTCTTGTCGTTTAATGCAGAATCTGAGGCAGAACAGATGACATCAGTTTCGCCAACTCCCAATGTTGTGCCCGACTTAGGATTGCAGTCAACATTTACGCTGGAGTCCACGTTATCAGTTGCACTCGCCACAAAGGATACCTCAGCAGTGGCTTCGCCCGGCTTAAGGATCTCTATCATTGGATCTGGACAGGAAAGTTCCGGGGGTTCATCATCTGAAAAAAACAGAAAAATAATGAGCAAAACAATAAAAGCACCTCTTTGTCCATGCACACACTTTCCAGGCTGGTTCATGTTTCCGGGGAACACAAAAGCAAAGTGATATTTAACTCAAACAAAACATTTGCAGCGACATTCAAAACACACGCATTTAATCTCACATCACAAAATTACAATTCTGATCACTGTTGTGCCAAGCACTAACTGGTCTGAAGTCAAATTTCCCCCAAATTGCTCCAAAGGTGCATTCAACAGTGCAATACCATGCATAGGTATGCATACAGGGCAGCCGTTGAAAATACACATGCAGTAATATATGCGAGCAGGCACACTGTACTTTTGAATGTGCTCCCGATTTGACACGTCAATTCATTGCAATTCAACACAGGGATACATTCTCGAGGACAGTGGGCACTCATCAACGCTGAACTTTTCAATGGACCACGATGGGAAGGTTTGATGCTGAGGAAAAAAAGGGTTTCGTGGGAGCCAGTCCTGTTGCATCAGAGCATCTGGGTGTCTGAGGTATTTCCAACCTCCCCAGTCAGACAAAATACAGACCCCAAAAAATAAACAAGATTTCTTGTGCACTTCAAAAGGTGTCTTGAAGCCCTCTTGAAGTCTCTGAATGAGAATATCTTCAACTGAGCTTGAATAAGTCAGTCAAGTGGATGCTAACATGCTGTGGGAGGCAGCAACAGGGATTGGAGCAGGTGCTACAAATACCCTCTGGCCATAGCAAGTTCTGGTGCTTGGGCATTGGGAAAAGTATGAAGTGAAAGGGGGTCAGAGGCTGATGAATGGCGTTGAGACTTTTGAAATGCTGTGTTCGGTGAGATATAAAAGTGCGCGTCCCTTTCTGACTTTATATTTAAACTGAATATGCTGAAGGCCGGGAAGAAGGGATGATAGCATTCTTTCACCACAAAAGATGGCAATCATCCATGGGGGTCTGTTTCACTTCTCCGTACCTGTGACTCTTATGGTGAAGTCGCACGACCCCTCATTGCCGGAACTGTCACTGGACTTGCAATTGACGTAGTTCAGTCCCAGTTGGAACTCCGAGCCCGACTCTGGATTGCAAGAAGCGGTGAGGTTCTGGTCCAGGTTGTCCGTGACCGCTGGTGTGGTGTACCTGACTGTTGCTTCTGCCTTTCCAGTATCCGTGGATTTCTTCATGGGGTCAGGACAAGTGAGGTCCGGCTCCTCATCATCTGAATGGATCAAAGTGAACAAGAAAGTGGAGTCAAACCACGGCAACAGAGCAGACACCACAAGACACTTTCAGCTTGTTTGATCACTCCCCCTGTGCTTACTTGGGGTATAAAGCATGATGGCATTCAATATGACACTCGTGTGACTTTTCACACTGTGTGTGAAAAGTGTGTGAGACTGTGTACTCTTGCATGCAGTGCATGGGCAACTCTCCCCAACTGAACAGGCATGAAATAAGCATGACTTATTGAATAAGTTCTACGTATCTCTCTACACTGGAGACAACGGCTACTACAATGAAGAATTGGCTGTGTCAATAATCTCAAAATTATGAATGGTGTAATAATCTAAGGTGTATTCTGTTACTGCTACAGCTTGTGAACCATTTGGGGGCAGGACCAATGATTTGATACTTTGCAAAATTAGGCAGGGAGGTAATCAGGGTAGAACAGCACTTGAAAGACTAAGTTGGAATAGTGACGATGTGCCAGACGATTGGGAGCTGGCCAAAGTCAACCCTATTTGTAACGGTGGCTCTGTTCAAGATTGTAATCAATATCAGCCAATCTCTGTCATTTCTGTTGTTATGAAGGTCTTTGAATGGATTGTTTATAACCAGCTGTCTGATTTCTTGTTGTTAACAACTGTTTTGTGCAGCAACAGTCTGGTTTTAGACCTTTCCATTCAACGAATACTGCATTGATTGACGTTGCAGATTTTTCGTTAAATGCCGCAGGGAAGTTGACTGGAGCTTGTTTTTTCTCGACTCAAGTAAGGCTTTTGACACAGTCAACCACACAATCCTACTTAAAGGCTGCATTCTTGTGGTTGGAGTGGAACTCCAACTGGTTCAGCTGTCACCTTTATTTCAGAAATCAAGATATTAAAATTGAAATGTCATGTCTGATTCACACATAGTTTAATTTGGTGTTCCTTTGGGTCCATTGCTTTTTATTCATGTTAATGACTTGCCTATGGTGATTGAGCATTCTATAGTTGCCCTTTATGCTGATGATACGGTTATTTTTACTCTGCTAAGGACAACAGGGATATTAAGGATTGTTTAAATGATGATATGGGCAGAATAATGACTTGGCTTGAAAGAAACAGCTTATGTCTTAATATAGCTAAGTGCAAAACCATCTTGTTTAGCTCTTTCCAAAAGCTAGCTGGATGTCAAAGGACCAACACTGACATATTTCTTGTTGGCAGCAGCCTAGAACAAGTTTCTTGTATAAAATAACTTGGTGTGATTCTTGATTCCAAACTTCAATGGACTGATCTTTTGGAATATACTGAGTCTTCTGTCTCAAAAGAATTTGGATCTCATTGCCGGTTTGAAACTTCTTGCTTGTTTGGGCACTTAACCTCCTCGTCAATCTCGATGTGATGTTAAACTGGGCTGGATGCGTTTTTTTGAAGGTTCCCCCAAGAACATCAAGTTTAGACATTTATAACAAATAGGGATGGGATAGCTTACAGGTTAGACGTGAAAACCATCTTAAAATAATGGTGTATAAATGTTTAAGTGGCATAGCTCTGGCTTACCTTTATAGTAAGTTTTCTTATGTCAGTGATCAACATTCCTACCAAACTAGACAGTGTGTATCAGGGAATCTTTGCCTCCCTTCTCCCAGAACAGAATTTGGTAAGAAAACATTTCAATTCCAGGGAGTTTGATCTTGGAACAAACTGCATTTGCCATTGAAGGAGCCTCTTTCAACAAGTTTAAACATCTTTAAGAAGCTTCTTTTCCAACATCTGTACACATAACTGCTTACTGTTTCTCTGTACTGTTATTGGTAGTCCTTCTGAAACTGTCTGTCTTTTAAATTTTCTACATTTTTAATGAAATATCTTCTGTACAGATTTGTAATTATTTCTGATGATTTTAATAACTGTCTATAGTTAATTTAAATCTTTGCCACAGCAGAGCAATATACTTATGTTCCATTTTCATGAAAAGTTGGGGAATTGCACCACCTTTTAATATTAAATTTCTTGGACGAAGACAAAAGTAGCTTTTACGACGGCTGTTCTTATCCAATATAACAGCAGTAACTGAACAGTCGAATAACCTCCACCTGCCATTTTGAAAGCTTTTTTGTTTTTTCTTCATTAGAACTGGACAGAAACTTTCACAGTTCTCTCATGGCCATACAAGTTTGTCATTTGTGTCCTCAACAAAGTGGTACATTTATTGTATATAACTTGTTAAGTTCAGCAATGATGAAACTTATAACCAAACAAGATAAGCTGGTCAAATTGATCATTTTTGCTTTGTTAGGCGCAACTTACCCCACCTAAAATGACAGTGTAAGTTATGTCATAAGTTGTGTGTGTAAGTTGCTGACTTACACAGTGAGTATGTTTTGTGAAATCGGTTGTTGACCAACTTATACAATAAAATGTGGCGTAAGTGGAGTTACGCTATTGCGATAAATCAGCTGCAGATGGGCTGGGAATTTCTTTGACAGTTTTGGACCAAAAAAAGAGGGAACTCTCAAAAGCAGTAAAACTGCACGGCAAAAAGCAATTGGGGGGGGGGAAGAGAGAAATCTCTTTGTGTCTTTTCCTTCGTACTGTTCTTTTTCCAAAATTGAGGGGGCTACCTTTTCGTTTCCCAGGGCTCTTTTTCCACTTTCCAGGGCAACACTTTCAACGGTTATTTTAACAAAAACCCAGCCTACAGGATAATTAATACAAAAGTTCTGTCTCCGGCTTATATAACTTTTCACATTAAACATTTAAATGCTGCTATCAGAACCCCACCTTTTGATCTGGGTTATAAAAAAGCATTCCATCAGTCATACAACAAAAAAACTAGATTTAGTGCCGTAAAGTACATGTACACTGTACATATGTACATGGCCAGTCTCGCGCTGCATGCATATAGTCTGGTTAATCCACTCTATCAACTGAACGTGATCTTCGCGTGATGTGATCGAGGCAGTAGCCAGACAAATACAGGTTCTATCACAGGGCATCGATTGACTGATGTATTAAAATGCACTAAAGATAGAAGGTTTCTCATTCCTGAATTCTGAAACTGCTTTCAAATTTTTACGAAGCAAGCTTTTGAAGTTTTTGAACCATGCGCTGCAATGATGTTCTCAGCCGTCATTGGAAGGGTATGTTATGACAATCCAAATAAAAGCCAGTAAAATTTCTTCATATTGATCTTTCAATTTACGGGGGCGACTTGTATTTTTCCTGTTGACCCCGAATGCACAATTTTGGGGGCTCTTTTTTTTCACTGCTTTGTACCTGTCACAGTGATGGTGAATGGGCATGACTTGCTGTTGCTATAGATATCAGTTGCTGTACAGGTAACCAGGTTCTCTCCGATGAAGAACTTGGAGCCTGAGGTAGGTTTGCAGATCACAGTCACTTTCGTATCAGAATTGTCCTGTCCCAGCGGCGTGGCGTAGGTCACATAGGTGAATTTCTGTTTCGGATTGGCCGATTTGGACTTATCAGCCGGGCAGTCCAGGCTCGGAGGTTCGTTATCTGAAAATGTGGTCAAATCGTCAAAGGAACTTCAAACTCTTTGTGATAAATACAGCAGATCTGCACTGAAATACCACCTCTTGTGCACGTACATCAATGCAAAATAGGCATCTATCAGACTATTGATGCAACTTGCAACATGAGATTGAAATGTATCTTGCTAAAATTTGAAAACCTCACATGCCATTTACCATCACACTTCCTCCTCTGTTTCGCACACAAGCACATTGATATGCTGCACACACAAATTACTTGTAATGACTCCAGGTGTTCATAGCGGAAAATCCTTTCTTAAATATGAGCAATTTCAGAGGTGAAAAGCCAAGAACTTCAGGAAAAAATACACAGACTGACAATCAACTCACAACCACTGAGGCACATGCACTGAATGTTAAACTTTACAAAAAGGCACTTCATTATCAAAATGACAACATACCGACAATATCGACGTAGAACGTGCAGGGTTTCATATTACTGGCAGAGTCAGTCGCAGTACATGTGACACCCGAATGTCCGATATTAAACTGAGTGTTGGATTTCGGCTGGCAGTCGACAGTTGGATTGGGGTCTGCATTGTCCTTGGCAGTTGGCTCATCGTAGGCAATAGTGCCGTATGGTTGGCCCGGATCCACAAAATCAACGGTGTTGTTTGGACAGGTTAGTTCCGGCGCCTCATTATCTGGAAAGCGGTCATAGAAATCATTGAGGAAAGCCCTTTTGGTAATCAGGGTGCATTTTGCATGCTGTTATGATTTTTTCCAAGACCTCGTTACCTTTAGCCAAATCCTGGCATTTTGGGACACAAAATAAGTCAAATATTTGGGCTACAGGCTGTGAATGTGCAATTAAAACAAACATGATGCACATCTTTTGTTTTTTGCCCTGTCTGACATGTATTGTAACACTGTATACTCAGAGTTTCCCTGGAGGCTTGTGAAAAAAGCCCACAAGTATAAAGTGGGACTTAAACCCACGACTTCCTGCTTGCTGGTGCAGACGTCTTAACCAATCGACCTCTGGACTTGCCGGTGTCGGCTGGCTAAGAGTCAGATGTAGCAGTGGGTACTGCAAACAACAATTTCTAAGGATGGATTTGGGTTGGGGAGGTGTTAATTTAATTTTGGATTTTTGTTGGGCAGGCCTGATGTGTATTGTAACACTGTACAATACATGTATACAATACATGTTGGGCAGGGGGACAAAAAATCCAAAATTAAATTAACATCTCCCCAACACAAATCCATCCTTACAAAATGATGAAAATCATTCACAACAAAGCATTCAGCATTGAGTTGAAACATTCTTTCCATTGATGAAAACTCACTTAGAAATCTTTGAGACTTTTCAAAGACCAAGTCAAGATAACCTGTCCATGATTTCAACGGTTGATCTTTTAATTGCTATTTAAAGAGGAAGTTGAGCTTTTTCTAATTTCAACATAAGGGAACTGTGACTCAATCTTAATGCATGTTTGACTAACACAAATGCACCAGCCTATGACATAAACATTTGTCAGACGTCTTTTAGGGAAAAGATCTTGGCTACAGAACTGAAGTTCTGAAAATTCCAACTGTCAGCAGCATTGGCAGACGGTTATTACCTTTGCCTTTACCTTTCACAGTTATGGTGTCAGAAAAAAAAGAAAGAATTATCTTGTCACGGATGTGTAATACTCCCCCCCCTACAAGCACATTTTGGTATATACCTTCCCACTGAGCTAACCATACTCTTTTTCTGCTTTGATTTCTTAACATTCATTCAGTCCATCACCAATCACAAATGCTGCTTTCAATGGGTATCGGTCTCCAGGCTATTCAAATTATGGTTGGAGACCAGGAAAAACACATCTGTTTAAATGTCTTTCCTTTTCCTGTTTTTTTTTTCCAGAATAGGCTACTCCAAAGCCAATTTACAGTGACCTCGTTCGAATTACTGGCCCTAACAACCACTCCGAGGGTCACATTTTTATGAATGGAACCACATCAAAAGTTTTAGTGCTTAGGTTTTACGACAGATCTCAGTTGTGCTTGAAGTGATAATGTGTGACGGAATGTTGTTTCCTGAATCAATGCATTCACTCATAAAACTTTTGTGCCATTTGTTGCTTTTTTTCTTTTCAGCAGGGGAGTTCAGTTTAGATAACTAATTTCACTCAAGGTTGGGGTCACGTTTCTTCCTTAACACCTCTCACCTCTGTGTCTCGGGCTCTATTTCTCAACCTGCCCCAATGTGGATGGGGTTCTCACTCCCTACCTGATGCCATGAGGTTTTTGCCCTGAAAACTTTTGTGGAATGCCTGGTTTCATTACTAAAACATAAATAATAATACTAAAGATGCCCCCCCAAAAAGAAAAGAAATAAAAAAAAAACTTAATGCTACCCACAGACACCTAAGTACTAAGCAAAACTATATGTAAAGGAATAGAGATTTCATTCCTGGACCATACCTGTGACAATGACACTGAACTGGCAGTCATTCACGTTATTAGCACTGTCGGTGGCAGTGCAAGTGATAGTGGTGGAGCCAGTGGAGAACTGAGTGTTGGAAGAAGGGTTGCAACTAACCGATGGACTGGGGTCTACATTGTCACTCACATCTGGAAGGGCATAATCCACGGTGGCAGTGGCCTTGCCTTTGTCGGTGAACTTATAGATGTTATTGACCCTGCACTGCATGCTAGGTGGTTCAGTATCTGAAGAATATGCAAATAAGGAGTGCTATTAGCATATAGACAGCGCTTCCAGACTTGAGTCTTAAAAAGTACAGCCTACACCCCATAGCTTATGTGGTTTTTCAGATTTCAATTACGCTCTAACGTAGTAGCTGTAGTTTATTCATGTATGCATGTAGTGGACAACTATAGCTGTACATATCTCTGTGATGTGAGGAATGAACGACAAGATCTCGTGAGTCATGGGTACACTACAGAGATTATGGTAGAGACTGTGAGTCCAGGTGCTGAAAATTACTCCTGTAACATCCAGGTTTCACTTCCGTTTTTCAGTTTCCCCCGGAGGGGCTAGGGTAGGCGCAGAACAAACTGCTTCATATTCATCCCAATATTGAAAGATTTCAATGAAGGAATTTGTGTTCCCACGGGTGGTATTATGTATGCAATAAGGTCAGTTTCATTCCGCTGACTTTTCTATCTCTCCTTTTATCCGAACGGAGCAGTATCGACAGGTTATTGGTTAAAGTCTTCTTGAAACAACACAGACGTTAATATGGCCCAGAGTTCACCATAGTTTGTGGTTGAAGAGTTATGAGTCATTTTACTGTGTGCGTACGTAGTGACACCATACAACGCTGGCTGATGTGAAGTCAAACAGTGAGTGTATATTGCGGTTACATTGTTATATCCCATGATCATTCTGTGCAGATTCAAAGAGAAAAGCATTCATGACAGAGGTGTATGACAGTCCCTGTTGCCTGTGATTGGCTTGAATGCCTCCATTTTCCTTTTCCATGCCACAATATGACTCAAACAAGCATCAGACGGGCCATCATAATTTGATGCAAATGAAACAATTGAAATTTCACCTGTACTTGGGAGAACAGGCTCTTTGTGCTTTATACTGATACTGGTATAACTAAAGATACTCATTCCCCGGCTCTTTTAGGCATAAAGCAAGCCGCTCGGAGCGGAAACGAGACAGAGTGTATTTTTACATGGCAAAAATGGTCCTCTGGTAGGAACTCACTGCACTAACCTTACATAACTAGTGTGGACTTGTGAACAAAAGATGTCCACAGGATGCAGGAAAGGAAGACCTTCTGTGGACTTACACATGTCCACAGGACATTTCCCCTTCTCTGAAAAAGAAGCTTAGAGGCATTTTGGGCATTTGCTGCATATCTTAATAATTGAAAGAATGTTTGAAAAACTGGAAAACAATTTAAATTTTTGGGTTTAAAATACCCTTTTTTACGTTTGGAAATGTAACGTACACAGACATTCTTGATTAACATGAAGCATATCACGAAATGAAATCATGTTAATCAAGAATGTCTGTGTACGCTACATTTCCAAATGTAAAAAAGGGTATTTTAAACTCAAAAATTTAAATTGTTTTCCAGTTTTTCAAACATGCTGCATATCTTAATAATTGAAACAATGTTTGAAAAAGGTTACCATGTTACGTTTGCGACTTGTCCTTTGTTAGTTTAATCAATTCCAATTTTGGCTCTCTGTCAACCAGTTGGCTTTGATTTATGTGCACATGTGTGCACATTCATATACATGTACTGTACATGCACATGTGCTCCATTAACGCACGAACATGTAAACATATAAGTGTACATGCACTGCTACAGACAAATTATTCACATGCAAAATATTCAATTTGCAATCATTTGAAAATACTACCAATGTCCAATGTTTTTATCGGGTCTTAATACACACGGCTCTTTATTTGGTTTGTTTGGATAAACTGGAGAAGTTGTTTAAAATGGGAAAGACAGTGGACATACTTTCTTTCAAATCTGATTGTGTTTATTTAAAAAAAAAATCACTTTTTCAGAATTTGTTTCAAATTTTGTGCAGCTGGTTCGTTTGACTACTGTGGTTTAATAATTTCTGATCAATTCTTAGTTATCAGGTTATCTTTGTTTGTGTTTTGCTAAAAATAAATAATGGCCTCTGTCCGTGGAAATAAGTGTCGAAACGATGTCCGACGTTGCCTGCCTCAAAATCCACAGTAAAGTGATTGAGTGTGTATGTGCTAACTCTCAACCGAGTGGTGCACAAGGACATGGGAGTGAACATACATGGGGTGCTGTGCTCCTTGCATGGTTAAACCATATAGCTCCACAAACAGACATCATGCATTTTACAACGTTTTTCTTAAATATTTTCTTCCTCGTGACCCAAATTATTGTAAATCTGTTGTACACAATACATGATTGTCGGTCCACAGAGCACTGTGATTGGCCAGCAATGCCCATAAGGATCCAGGAAACTGGAAGATGCAATTCCCTGGTGAATTTCATGCAGTCACAAATTAAAATGAATGACTGCTGGAATCTGAATGCGTTTCTGTCAACTGGCAGTCATGCCCTTTTTCGTACTCACACATATTATATTGGCTTTAGTGCCCTCATCACTGGCCGTCGTACCCTAAAAAAAACTGGCTTCTCTAAGGACAAGGTGGGCTTGTCCTTCAAATGATGAAATTCCTTCCCTGGAAACTTCCTACCATCCTGTTTCTTCTCTACTATTGAGAGCACACTTCAACTCCTTGAGGATGGCAGGATCTGGATCTGATCGCTGACCAACAATAAACAATTCCAAAAAAATTAGATTCCTACCTCCTACGGTAACCTTGAAGGTGCAGCTGTTTGTGTTGTCACTGCTGTCGGTGGCAGTGCACGTAACTGTCTTGGATCCAACTTGAAACTGTTCAAACTGTCCAACGGAACACGTAACTTCTGGACTGGGATCAAAGTTGTCCACTACTATGGGCTCGGTGTACAGAATTGTAGCATACTTTTCGCCCGGGTCTGTTGACGGTGCCATGTTCATCGGACATGTTATCTTTGGCTTTTCCTCATCTGCAAAATAAAAAAAACAAAAGTATCCATCATGCCAAAACATCTGTCTATATGCTGTGACCCATCCTTGATGAGGTAGAGATGATTAATTTTGCCATGCACCGTTCAGTTCACATAACTCAAAAAAGATGTCAAACAGCCTTCAAACATAGAAGAAGAGTACAGAGATACACAGAAAGTGATTTTACGAAAAATTCATTTCCTTGATCCTTTAAGTTGGAGAAATGACTCAACAGTGGAGATCATTTGATTTGAATCCCATTCAGCCAATTAACCTCTATTTATTTGTCATTTTTCCTTCATGCAATTAAAGCCCAAAACAGACAGAAATATACCTTAGGGGTTTTACAGCCCCAGTCAGTTTCCAGTGAAGTTTATCAACACTCGTTATAAGCACCGTTAAGACCACCTCGAGAGCTAACAGCGAGATTGTTACAGGTTAACATCATTAAAACAGGCAGCACATTTTACGGTTAAAAAAAGCAAAAATATGGCACAACTGGAGCCTCTTACCTTTCACCTCTACTGTGAACATGCAACTGTTTGCGTTTTCTGCGTAATCAATGGCAATACAAGTGACTGGGAACAGTCCCAATTCATAGATTTCAGAGTCTGGAGGAACGTTGCAAGAGACTTCGGGCTGGGGATCCACATTATCTGTTGCTGTCGGTTTGGTGTATTTAATGGTGGCATACGGCTTTCCCTCGTCCAAGGATTTCGTCATGTTAACGGGACATGTAAGCTTTGGTGGCTGCTCATCTGAAAGTTATGAAGTTTATTAAGTTATCAATATCTGACACATTCAAGCACAGTTTAAAAGATGCAAACAATACCAAGGATAAATTAATAACATATTCTCTCCCAGAGAATTTCAAGTGCCAAATCCCTTTTGCCAATGTTCTTTTGTAAAACATACATAAATGTTCAACCCACCAAAATGTTTTATAAAACAATTTCACTTACTCCTGATTATGGGTTTTGCAAGAAAGTAGCCAAACTAAAAGGCCTCTCTAACAAAATTCTGGAGAACAAATCTGCTCCATACCTGTAACTACAACAGGGAATGTACACGATGCCTCGTTGCCAGCATCGTCTCGGGCAGTACATGTGACATGGTTGTCCTCAATATAGAATTTCGAGCCTGACGATTTCTGACAGGTTACTGTCAGATCATCATCAACGTAATCCTTGACAGTGAATTCAGGGTAGATCACAGTTGCGTAGTCTTGGTCCCGGTCTGTTGGCTGGTCGATACGATCTGGACACGTGATCTCTGGCTTCTCGTCGTCTGAAAAATTAAATGTGAACTGACAGGTAAAGTTCAGCCAGTACAATTTAAATGTTTAGGTGACATTTGAGTTTTTTGGTCAAGAATGGAGATAAAAGGAACTATTCCTGTTACTGCAGTGCTGCTTAACAAAAATGGCACTAACTGCAGTGACTTCTCCCAAAAGAACCCTGTGGGTACAGGGAAGCTCTTCATATCTAATGGAGTAACAGAAGAAAAAGTTCAGTATTAAATAAAAAGATTACTCAAATGCATACTCGGGCAAAAAGTTGTGGGCCATATGGCAATATGCAACGGGTGCAAAAGTCAGGTGCATTTTGCTGCACTGGGCAGTCAACAGCAGCCAAACGAACTGGTCACGTTAAGGCAATACAAGGCCATGTTCGATCAAGGCCCACTAGTTAACTAGTGATTGGTTCGTGACATACCTAGCGCATGTGCAGTGAAGTTGAAGTGTAAACAACCCTAGTCAACTGTTGTCAGGTCATTAGGGCGAAGGGGAGAAAAGGTGGTTGCAGGAAGGGAAAAATAGCAAAAATAAAAGTGTTAATTAATTTTGGATTTTTTGCCCTGCCCGACGTGTATTATAACACTGTATACTCAGTGTATGCCCCAAAGGTTTGTGAAAAAAAACCACAAGAACACTCAGGTGGGACTCGAACCCACTAGTGGGTTCCAATCCCACCCGAACATGCTTGTGTTTTTTTTTTCACAAGCCTTCGGGGCATACACTGAGTATACAGTGTTATAATACACGTCGGGCAGGGCAAAAAATCCAAAATTAATTAAAATCTCCCAGGCGCAAGTTATCCTTGGAAATAAAACTAAAAGTGGAAATGGTCATTTACTGGTGACATACTCTTTTCCCAGCACTTTTATTATAACTGGTCCTCTGCACTGTGTTATTAGAAATGGTTTATGGCAACCAACGATGCAACCAACCTGGCTGGTTGCGAGTAGTTGACGACACTCATCAAACCATTGTTGACTAGCGTCGAACTCTGGTTAACTATGGTAATTGATCAGACTTGCCCTGAGCTAGAGGGTCTTGTTGCACCCAGTGGTAAGTAACTTGGACCAAAGGAGGCACACTGATATGCCTGACAGGAATTCAAGCCCAACATATTGCACTTTGTAGCATGGTATTAACACAACACTGGCACTGCTATTTGTCAGCATACGAAATATCTGTGTTCAGGCTTGCATGCAAACAGGAAGTCAGGTAGGATTACAAAGCACGCTGAAAGCACAGAAATTAATGTTGTCACCTGCTGAAGTATAGCATACCTACAACATTAATGGGGAATTTGCATGACTTTGAGTTGCCGTATTTGTCAGAGGCGGTACATGTAACCATAGTCTCGCCAAGACCAAACTCGGAGCCTGATGCTTTGACACAAGAAACGCTGGGGCTGAGGTCGGCGTTATCTCTTACAGTTGGTGGATCATAATTCACAGTGGCGTACGCTTGGTGCCAATCCACAGATACTTTATCCATTCGTGACGGGCAGGTGATGTTCGGTGATTCCTCATCTAGGGTGAAAAATAAAATTAACTTTTTGGTACCCAAGTGCAGATAGATTACATGGGGCTTTACCATTCACATAAAAATGAAACGAAAGAAAAATTGAAAAAAAACCCCCAAACAAAACAAAAACAAAAACTGACCCTGCGCAATTATGCACTCCACTGGCATGCTTACCGTTGATGACAATGGTGAAAGTACAGGTCTCTTCATTGCCAGCGTTGTCCCTAGCTGTGCAGTTGACACTAGTTGAGCCAATGTCAAACTGTGAGTCGGCCACTCTGTCACAGTCAACCTTTGGTCTGGGATCTGCATTATCGAATGCCTTGGGTGTCTCGAAGTCTATGACTGCATACGACACACCAACTTCAGTAGGCTCGTCCATGTCAATTGGACAAGTAATGCTTGGCTCTTCAGTATCTGCCGAGTGGAAATAAATGATAACCAGCTAGTGATAAGATAGCAAGACAATAAGAGAATCCTGTTTGCCAAACTTCATGCATTTATGCCGCTTTAAAAGTAATTGCTGAAAAGTCTTGTATTTCAATGGCACCAAATTTCTAGTGCAAGTCACCAGTAATGCACACTACTATTTTTACAAGATTTTTATGAGCTACGAGGAATTGCTTGGTATGAAAATCACGATTACAAAAGTTCAAAATTGCTGCTAAGCATCTGTTTTTCAACTGTGGCGCATCTGTACGGTTTTGGAAATGGACACTTAAGTTGTACAAATATGTTGCATCTGGAAGCCAACCAAAGCAAACATTTCAATCACTCTGAAAAGCTGAAGCTTCATTTATATGATCTTGACTGGACTGAAAAATTACATCATTAAAGCAACTGCTGCTTATGGTTGATTTCACTGTTTTTTTGCTGGACAATATAAAGCAAAGAACATCTGCTTTACTTGGATTCACTTTTCTCTTTCGTTGGGGGTATACAGAGCATGAAATTACGGTCGGATATCGGACATTTTCTGAGTACTTATTACATTTTTCCAAACAAAATCAAAGATGCTCGAGCAAATTGTCCGACCAACATATTGATAACAGCTCTTAAAATATCAACACAATATGTGGGATTATGGTATCCGATTTATTATTAGTTTTGTGTTAGAATTACGTAAATTACGCCCGGGGCATTCATCAGAGGTGATCGCTCATCACCAGCCCATGTCACCCAGCGCCACGCGTGTATGAACACACATACTTACTTGCACAGACATGAAATCGCCCCATAATTCTTTGCACATTGGTTGACAGCATGACCTATGTTTTACAATGTTCAATTTTGCATGCTAACCCATGCATGAAACATAACCTGGGTACCAGGCAATATGGACCTGTGGTGGTTGGCTGCGTTCGCGTGGTTCCTCCAGTTCAACCCGAGTGTGGTGCGTGCACATTATATTTCTGGATGTGCAATGGGAGTATGCCCTCGTTGACCCACGGGTCTTACTCCAGCCGAACACGAGTAGCTCGCTCAAACGCAACCCTTAGTCATGGCGAGAACTTGCTCCGAATTAGACTGTTTCTCGGTCCCCCTAGTCTGAACAAAAATAATAATGGGGTTGGGAGCCCCAACTCTACCTTTGGTGTAATATGGCAGATCAAAAGCTGGTAACGGCAGAACAAAATTGATTGTGTTATGACATTTTCTTGAAGCACTTTTTTGGTCTAATTGCTGGTATATGTATTTCAGTGCCACCTTTTGTCAGATGTAGCGTGAAAAAAAGTATTCATGATGTGCCATCCGACGTCATGGTTACAACTAAAACAGAATGTTGCCGGGTACACTGTACATCCATTTTGTTTGCACAAATTTGATCAAGAAGTAATGATGCCGGACAGATTTCTTTGGAATAAGTGACCTTTGATGCTACCACTAAATTTAAGCAAATCACGATGCATGTGCAAACCACCTGGCAAGGTTTCAATAAAGGACAATATAAAGGTAAACAAAGGGCACATATGCTTATACCGCTACTTGTTCATGTAACAGATATGTGCTGATGCAGAGACAAATGCAATGACCAGACTTACAAGCCATCACTGCGAGACTATCGCGTTTGCAAGAAGGTAGTATAACCACGTGACATTGCTCTCTGACAAATACCGGTTTGGTGCTGCGACTAAAATATGCACACAGGCTCAAGTTAAAACTGTGAGTGCAATGGTCCACAGGAATGTCGTGTCCTCGGATGTATCAACAGATACAGGAATGTGCAACCTGCTGAGTTTCGCGATAAAGAAACCCTCGTCTTGAAGACACTTTTTCTGCGTTCCCTGAGTTTGTTCAGTGAATGTAAAAAACAAACTAAATATCAGTCAGCGAGTGTGTATGCATATTCTCCCGTTAACCTACTGCTATTTTCAGTATTTAGCAGGGGCACAGACAGCCCTGCTGTGAAACCAAAGTGTAGTAGCCCCTGAAGAAGGGCAAGGTACACAGGTTTCTTACATCAAATACAAACAGTCCATTTGATGATGCTTGATGTTTGTGTGCACAAACAATGAAATCTAGTTTAGACAGACATCCGGCTGGTGTGTGATCGATGTTGGTGGGCCAGGATGGCCAAGCGGGCAGGTGCTTTCAGTAGACCTACGCCATGCCTCCCACCTGGCCTTTTGTTACCCTGTAGCCCTTGTGTGGCTCCTTGGCCAAACTTCTCAGGACTCTGTTGTGTGCTTAGGCATGTTGGGTGAAGGGACTTCCAAAAGTTAAGTCTGATGATTTGACTTATACACCTGCATGCGTCCTCTTTCCTTCCAGTTTAGGGTCCTGCGGACGGTCAAGTGGTCATACAACACGCCCCAAGCTCGATCCACTATCTGCAATGTATTTGGTATGGCATCCTGTCTCAACTGGTTTGTCACCTTCTTTGGGGTTCTTGCTGTCTGCAGGCTCCGACCTGTGTTTTGAATGTTGTGGCACTGTGAACAGTTGTAACTTTCACTTGCTTTTTTTCTAGCCATACCAGAAGGGGTGCATGACCACCACAAATGGCAAGCAGAGGGTCGTCCTTCTTCAGCCTTGAATTCTAGATTGCTTCTGGTGTTCCACAGCAGTTGACATACAGCATGCCACATACACTGACATTGTTTGTCAAGTTCCTTACACAGGGCTGGGGTTGAAAACACATTTTCCATGTGAGTATGGTGACCTTTATCATAAACTAGTGCACAAAGTAATGTCACAACAGTATAGTACAAATAAGCCTCAGTATCACTAGTTTTCCTCTCCTGATGTGATTCACCGAAATCCGGATGTATCCCATCTTCGTCTCAGGCCAAATGCCAGCCATTCAAACTCCCAACTCCCTAGGCTCCTGCACTAGTAAGCATACTGAACCTCACAAAATCCAACAGGTGCATGTACTTGTCTATGTACTTGTACATGCAGGTTAGTGTACCAAACCTGATAAACTCCAACAGAATGAGCCCGTTGGAGTTTGAGTGATGTGGTATGGATGGGTCTATGCAGTATAGGATGACTTGCACTGAACAGTACCAAACCTGACAAAATCAAGCATAGTCCAACAATTGGTTCAGCAATAGCCAGCACTGCACACAATGCGTCCCAACACACACAGAATCCAACACCATCTCGCCAGGCCTTTCATCCCAAGTCTCACAAAATTCAACAAGAAGTTCATCAGGCACGGTACCTCTCAAAACCTGCTGTTGGAGTATGGCAAGTTTGGGGTAGTGAGGTTTAATGAGGCTTGTTAGTTTGTGTACCGGTACCTTCCTTCCAGTGCGGCCCTAGAAAGGTATGATGTTTTTAATCAACTGACAGCTCTCGGTTCACCGACTGAGTTCCACTCACAAGCATGTTCATGATCTCTTTTATTTTAAATGTACCTCCCCTATCATGGTTGCAAGTACCAGATGCTGACAACATGGTGTTGTCGGTGCAGTACCAGAAAGGTACATGAAAGAGCAGCTGATCCTGGCCATCAGGGGTCTCATTCCTGGGGCCCACTGTACTGGCGTTTTGTTGCAGCGCACACTCGGCCAGAGGTTAGCACAGATTTTCAATCAAAAAACAGCAGACAATTTCACAGATATTAACCACACACCTGTCTGTCAAAAAGAGCCAGGGGTCAATGTTTTGTCACACTAATCAATTTATAAAAAGAATTTGGTTGCAGATAGCAGCACGGGAATAAATGCACTGGGTGACAGAAGTTCTGAAAACACAGGACACCTTAAGTTCATTGATCAGTTGCTAATGAGCTGAAATAACAACACTTTTTTGTACTTCATGTCGGTTGAATACTTTTTGAGTACTTTTCTTCTGGAAAAAAATACAGTTTTATTAAAATGGGGAAGTCTGACATCTCGAATTTATTTTCCTCTTATTGTGCAAGTATCACAAAATATACCATGTTCTTCAAAGTCAATATTTGACAGTGAATGTGGTACTCGAAGAGCACTTAACGAGCAAACTGGTATCTGGTGGCATCTTATGTGTTGCTACACCTCTGTGAAGGACGAAGCATAAGCGACTACAGGTTAATTCTTAAGTCCTAGGTACTTACCTTCTACAAAAATAGTGAAGGTGCAGTTCTTCTTGTTGCGGGCTGTATCAATGGCGGTGCACGTCACAGTGTTTTTTCCAGCGTTAAACGTTGTGGCCGACCTTGGGGTGCAGGTGACTCGGGGATCATTGTCCCAGTTGTCTTCTGCAGTTGGGGTTTTGTAGGAGACTGTGGCAAACGACTGGCCCTCGTCCATACTTGGGGCCATATCATCTGGGCAGTCAAAGGTTGGCGCTTCCGTGTCTTTACAAGAAATAACAAAAGGCATTACTTTCAATGTGGCCTGCAACACTTTCGAAACTTTCCCTTCCAAATTGACATGATACATTCTCTGAAACTGAGGCCAAACAAAGAAGTTTTCCTGCCGCCCAGTCAAACAGACTATCCATGGAATTTGAAATAAGATGTAATTTTTGCATCTGGGTATTTAATTTCCACCTATGCTATTGTGCCGTAATACAAAGGACCTATGCAACACTGAAACTGCACCTTTGTGATTCGACTAATCTTATTTTCAATTGCTGTTTTGCTATTTTTATTTCGGAAACCTTTTGGTTCCGATGTTAATGATTTACATATTCATGAACAAAAATCTGATGTCATAATGGGCACTGGGTCATTATCTCAAACTGACTAGCAAACAAAGACTGCTGGAATTTTGTATAGTTGCTGTCATATGTACATGTATTTCCATTCCTTGGGCAATTCACTGTAATGTAACAGTGTCTTCCCTGATTTACATCACAGTAATAGCACCCTCACTTGCCTGGAAAGGCTTGAACAATTTTTTTGTGTTAGAGCTTGTATACTTTCGTCAGCATTACTGTGAGAACATTTCCAACAGTTTTCACGCAAATGCCCCAACAGACCTTTTTCATCCACGTAACTGGATTATGCTAAACAATACCACCAAGTGTGGACTGCCGTGGCGACGGTGATTGCATATATTCCTACCGGCAGCTTCAACCACGTACAAGCGCACGTGTGAACGCTGCATGCTTGACTAGTTATCTAAATTACCATCACAAAACACCGCGGTCCAGCCTGAGTGGGACTTCATGGGAAAAGGTCTATAGTGAGTATGGGAAAAACTTGTTGCATGGATCCCTTTAAGATTCAAGGTGTAAGCTTGGGACTTCTCTAAAGTTCCAAGAGTGCTAGTGCACAGTGCTATTATGTCTGTGGCGGGCAAAAGCCAAACACAAATAACCGGAGAATGAATCGAAGGAGGAAATGAAACTTGCTAACACTATTTGTGCCTCAGACGACCATAAGAAACGGCACTTGGAAAGGTGACTATAACAAAAAACCAGCTGCACCTGTGCAAGGCTACTCTTTGATGTGATTGGGTAAGCATGCAATGAACTGGGTCAGATACTGCAAAGGAATGCAATATGGCATACATGTATGTTGCACCATCAAGTGCCAGTTCTGCAGGATCACAGCAAATAATTTAAGCAAGTGGCTCAAATACATCTCTTTTTTCAACCTCCAAAGAGGGGAACTGTGCCATTTCTTTGATTTATTCCACAGGCTTCTGTTCAGGGGAGGAAAAAAAAATAGTGTTCTAGTGCCTAATTTGTTGAGTGCCGAAGCCCAGAATTGGCCTCGCTATAGTCAATGCAGCATGCGAGATGGATAACATGTACTTTAATACGCATGAACTGAGAATTGAAATGACTGGATTGCAGCAAGTTATGCCAACTATGCCATACCTTTGACAATGACACCGAAGGAGCATTGGTTGGAGTTTCCAGAGCTGTCTGTAGCTGTACAGGTGACGTTTTTTGTGCCGATCGTAAATTCTGAACCGCTCGGCGGTACGCACTCTATCGTCGGGACATTGCCAGAATTGTCAGTTGCCGTTGGCATGTTGTAGTTAACGAAAGTCGATGACGAACCCGGATCAGCCGAACTTGGCATGGGAATTTGGCATTTAATTATGGGCCCCTCGTTATCTGGAAAACAAAAGCAACATTTGGGAAATAAGACAGCAATCAATCCCCTAAATTTGTACACGTACATGTAGCTTGTTAAACTTTAAACCTCACATAAAGTTGTTACACATATTGCCAGTAGCTAGTTAATTAATCTGCCATCATTATATGAAGCTTCCATTTGACATATAAACAGTATCATGGCTTCCTCCTATAAATGCAATATATGAAGGTCATGGATGGCTTTTTTTGTTCAATGATGTTGATTCCATCCAACAAAATGTCCAGGAGAAACTACTGGGCTGTTGAGATTTTGAAGAATACTATTGGTCAACAGTTGTCAAAGTACCATGATATTGCACAGCTTTCAATTGGACAAAATTGTACTAGGAAGGGATGCCAGTAGGTCGTTGGTCCAGGGCGGAAAAATTTCCAAAGTGGGAAAAGTTTTTTGAAAGTCCTGGACAATAAAATCCTGGAGAATAGTATGCATGGGATCTGATCTAAGAAGGCTGCACATAATGAACACTAATGGCTGAAATGAGCAGAAATCCCTGAGCATCCTGCCCCCTTTTCTGACAAACCTACTTGTACTGTTGAAAGACTCTGGCCTTTAGTTTGCTTGCAAACAAGTGAACGCTTGTTTTGGTTGTCTTGTCTGGCTGGCAACGGATGTACATGTATTGGTACCTGTATATAATCTGCCAGCACATGATGCACTGTGCTTTACATAGATACGTGAGTATGCAACTTACATTGTAAGTCCAGAACAAAACATCCATCCCTGTACTTTTTTATTTCAACCAGTGTCAGTTGAACTTATTTTTCACCTTACGTTTTAACTTTCAGTTTCCCAACTTGCAACTTCAATATGGACGTTTCACAATTGTGCACCTCCAAGAGTTTGCAAAGTGTTGTCCAATCACAATGTATGAAATCTGTCGACCCAATGCCGAGTACACTGGTGATGGGTCCGAGTCCAAAGCACTAAGTATGTGTGCATTCAGGGCCAAGTACTGGGCTGAGTTTGAGTCCAAGTCTAATTACAATACCAAAAAATTGAATGAACAAAATGAAATACAAGTACTAAAGTGACCACATCTACATTACCTCCAACAAACACATCACGCAACATTCACCTTTGCTGACTAGTTACATGTAACACTTACGAAATTGTTAACATATTGACAAGTCAATGAATTCTCTGTCGGTTTGTGATCACCAAGCATTTCTTAACACCAACAAGAGGAAAATAAATTGTGAATAAATGCCCCTTATCACTGAGCTCTCGATAATCTCCATAAGCTCACTATATAATTATAAATGCCGGAAATTGTCAATATATTCAAAAACAAACAAAAAAAAAAGATAAGAAAAAGTACCACAAAACCTCTGTCAGTGTTAGTCCATCGGGCACCCAAGAAAAAACAAAGTGTTGCTCTTGAAAGGTTAGCTCGGCTCATACTCATATTAGCCCTGCGATAAAAACTGCTTAGGTAGTAACTACATGTAGACTGGCAGAAAGGTTTTTTGTACATGCACCCAGGGCATGGTACGCATTCTATACATAAATGTGTGTTTAGAACTAGAACATTGCATTGTGTTCAAGGTTGAGCAAAGCAAACTTTGCTCATAACTCGGTGCCCAAAAACGCTATCAGTAAAAGTTGAAGTGCTCAAATTTTTCTCGAGTACTAGAGTCGAGTACAGACTATGTACATGTAGGGGTGGAGTACGCCCAAAATCCAGGTGCATGTACAAAGAATTGAGTATGGGCCAAGTACAATTAAGTTTTCGAGTACTGACAATTGAGTATGGCCGAGTACTCTAGTGTACTCAATTTGTACTTGAGTACAAGTACTCCAACACTGCCAGCCCACAAATGCCGGGGGCCAGAGGGATTCCCTAAAATACAGGAGAGCTGAAATTCCAGTAACTGCCTGGAAATCTGGTACTCCTGAGTAGGAAACCATGTGGTTGGCAACGTACGATGCACGATACACCCCTGATAGTTTCACATACATAGTTTCATGTACACTCTTTGTGCATGGTCCAGGACTGGATGCTGACTACACAGTTTGTCTTCCATTTTAAAAACCTTTGAAGGCTTGCCTACTGGGCAAATACTGTGTGTGGTGCTGTGGACTTTGCCTACAACAGTGGCTTTTGTACATTATGAAAGTGGGTTGATAACAGTCCTTAAGTCTTAATGGAAAGGGAGATATTTTTTTGGAGAACAACAACCCTCCGGCAGCAGCGGTCCTGAAGGGACAGCAGCATCAGTAGCACCCTCCAAACAAGCAACAGATGTAACCAATCTTTTCTTACCTTCAACTAGGACTTCAATATCGCAAGAGTCGAAGTTGCCATCATCGTCAACGGCGGTGCAAGTGACCTCGGTCTTGCCAATGTCGAATTCCTCACCCGAGGGCGGAGTACAGCTGACCTGTGGCTCAGGGTCCACATTGTCGAAGACATTTGGGCTAAATTCCACTATGGCGTAGGACTTGCCTTCTTCCACAGGCTCAGTTATGACAATGGGACAGTCAAGCTCTGGTTTCTCAGTATCTGAAAGGTATCCAAAGGGACAAGACCCTCAGAAGTGCGGTGCTCATCATTTCATTAGTCTATGTAATAAAGAGATGTTAGGTTTGAAACTAGACCAGATATGATGTTACTTAAATAGAGCTGTGCCGACTATCCCAATGTTTGATCGATTGAATATTGGAATACTATAATTTTCCAAATTTGAATGTTTGAATGCAAAATTCGTAAAAGGAATGGAGAAGTTTCTTTTGTTTTAAATGAGAACAATTTCTCTGTGGAGGCTTGTTTCAAGCAAATTCAAATGAAAAGCGGCAGAAACCTTACAACAATTCAAAAAATACATTATTCATTAAAAAGTAACAGGCATAGAAATTTTCAACAGGACAAAAAGCATTGTCCATCTCTTAAATCTTGCTAAATTGTGGCTGGAGATATTCCTATATGTAAAAAGCTATAGTGATTACAATGTATAACAGTGTGCGTAACTGCAACTGATTTTGTATATCGTTCATTATCAACAATCTGCCTGTAGGTAAGATGAAATATTTGATTGAATTGAAGGTTGAATATTCGAACAGTGGATCATTGGAACTGACTGAGCCTAACATTTAAACGCCAGATGGAATTTAGTATAAATTTGGATTTAATTTTGATGTCAAAAGCATCTCCAGGAAGATAAATCTGTTAAAAGACTTTGAAACCTTGTTGACTAGTAGGACAAATCCTGTGCTTGCCTTCAAAACAATGACCTAGGAGATGTTTCCAGGATGGGAAAAATTCATACAGAATCAAAGCTAAAAAGTGGAAACTGGAAAGCAATGCCTCCATACCTTTCACGTTGATTGTGAAATTGCACGTTGCTTCATTCATAGAAGAGTCAACGGCTGTACACTCAACTGTCGTTGGTCCAAATGAAAATTCTGAACCGGTTGTTTCAGAGCAGGTGACTTTTGGAGAAGCATCAACATTGTCCGACACAGCTGGAGGAGGGTACTCCACGGTAGCGAACGACTTGCCCTCATCGGTTGGGGGATCCATGGATTCAGGGCATTCCAGCGTGGGTTCTTCATCATCTGGAAACCAAAACTCAAAGATATTATGTTCTGATTGGCAACGTCTATTACTAAACAACTCTGAATGGCTGCAACATGGAATTCTCATACACCCTACAGATAAGAGGGGGTCTATAATAAAATCTGACAGCAGTCACTGACCTTTGTTCCATGGTGTCACTGTGATCTTAAATCATGACGACTTTGCCTGGCTGTAAAGCTAGCCACACAGCCCACCAAGTTTTGCTTGTCAACCAACATGTTTGAAAGGTGGCCACCAAACTTTCAAGTCTAGTTGACAAGTTAAGCATTTTGGGGATACATTCTGGTAAATTTCAAAGTATCCAGCATAATCTTGACGAAAAGAAGCTGTCAAGAATGGCTACAATTGCTTCCTACCACAGTGATAAGGGCAATAAATCAATTGTGTTTCTGACGTGATCCTTAACCCGAAATGAGCCGGGACGAGGCGGATAAGAATCTGTCCCACCCCTACATTTTGCCCGATATTGCAAAAGTGCATTTTTGGGGTGAAAATCAAATCTATCGTTTTTGTGTTGTGGCCATTTTTGCTAATCAGGCTAGCCAGAGATGTACATGTATACTTTTTCCAATCCAGTGCTCAATGCATGTGGCCTGGCACGCATGTAGAATTGAACTTCAAAGGACCACAACAACAAAAACTGTGTCTGATTGAGTTTAAACGAGTTTAGTTTGTGACGATAAGGAGTGTTTTCTTTATATATACAAAGCTTCAATAAAAAATAGAGCAGGGCACACCCTTCTGTGTGTGTGTGGGGGTCGAATGCCTTAACTTTACTTCTTTTAAAAACTTTTTCTGTTTTTCAGTCCGGTCGTTGGGCCTTTTAGGGGATTACATTGTGTGGTAAGTAGCAGGGTATCACTATATCTCCTGATTACCAGGAAAAAAAATTTCCCCACCTTCAACGGTGACGTCAAATTTACATCCCTTCTTATTGCCGGCGTCGTCTATGGCCTTGCATCGGACAGTAGTAGTACCAATCCCAAACTCTGTATTCGTGCCCTTATCGCATGTCACTTCGGGATTGGGATCCGCATTGTCAGTTGCTGTAGCTTCACCATAGTCCACAGTAGCAGTCCGCTTGCCAGTATCGGTTTTAACATCCGGCATGGGTATCGGACATATAATCTTGGGCTTTTCGTCATCTGAAAACCAGAAAAAAAAACAACCACCAATCAAAATACCACATAAACGTTGTCCTGGAAATTGAGGAGAGGGGAAATGGGAAACAGGAATAAGGCTTTATTAGCAACTTAAATTTGAATAACATCTGGTACACTGCATTCTTTAAATTCACAAAAATATCACAATTTGAATTCCTCAGACTAAAGACACTGCTGCTATACATGGCCCTTTTCCAATGCTCAACTTGGACTCCGTCTCAGGCTTCGTTCCCCAAACCAATCCCCGATTGTGGGCCTGAAGCGTTTAAATTAAATTGGATTACTGTAATTTCTGGCTCTCTTGCATCTTATTTGATGTTTTGTGGCACTATTAGACTAATTACTGCACTTACAGCTTCAAAGTCATCTGGTAAAAAAACTGGCGAAGCCTGAGACGGAGCCAAAGTTGAGTACTGGAAAACGGCCCATGTATCTCAAAATTTGGGGCAAGCTTTTCCTTAGTTACATAAGAGACACTTTGCAACAATACACTGTTCTCAATGGATAAGAAGGGCAGAAAGGAACCAGTCCATTCCAGAGATGGCAGTTACTATGCAAAAGCTTGCCACGAATCACGAGGTATAGTCTTTAGTCTGGGGAATTCAAATTCTTCTATTTATGTGCAATCAGATAACTCAGTGTACCAGATTTTATTCAGATTTAACTTGCAAAAGGCTTATTGTGGGGGGGTGACTTGCTTTGCCCCAGAATTGGACAGTGGGAGTGTGGGGGTGTGGGGTAATGCTTCTGACAGACGTACCTCTGTGGATTTATTACATTCTTATGTAACCCCGTCCCAAAAGAGGTCTTGGGTTACAACTTAAAACGTTATTTCTGCATGACTATGTCTTCCTTTTGCATACTTAAATTGTTCTTTCCTGAGCTTTGACTTTTCTACTGGTAAGCAGTGTTCCAGTGGTGAACCTTTGATCTATTGCCTGTTCCTTTTGTCAAATAGCTTTCCTAGAAGATCACAGGATGTTCTTTGTATCCACTGCCTTTAATCTCTGACTAGTACACCCGTGTGTACACTCCCAGTAAACTTTTCAGATCAGCAGGATGTTGGGACACTTAATCCCTAGTTGTTGTTCATACCTTACTCCAAGCTGTGAAAGCCATAAACTTCTGCCGAGTGCTCATCTGCCTAGATACTAGATGACCAATCAGTATTGGAGTCGTGTGCGGCACTTTTTAAGTAGTCCAATGAGAGCCTGAGCTAGTCATGTGGCAAAGGCATGTTCTGGGGAGCAGTTTGCCCCAGACTTTTGGCAAGCTAGGCATTACAAACTTTGCCATCGTGCTGACTACATGCCTGCCGAACTCTGTCTGCGCTCTGCACTACTTTTCTTTGGATTGGAGGATTTCAAAATCCAAGTCTTCCCCTTATGTTCACAAGTGTTGGCTCTCTATCTTACGCAAGTTTGAGTTCCTATTTATATCATTGCATACTATTGTGTAATTTTTCTGGAGTTTAGTCAATGTATTTTTCACTGTGACTCTTGTTGTAAACTGTGAAAAGAAGTTTACCGATCGATTACATGATATTTTGGGGATATTTTTGGGTATATATTTTTAAGTCCAAGTCCAAGTCCAAGTCCAAGCAGATTCATGATGTTGAAAGTTTTGATATATGTATCTCGTAGTTTCCACTAGCCAGTACTGTTCTGAGACTAGATCCAAAAGAGATGTTCCCTCAGAAAGCTTGCTTTTTCATTTAGCTTAGGACATGTGTTTCATGAATTAATTGAGGCAGTTTGAGTGCACTTTTCAATCACCTTGACTAATAACTTAGTGGAGACTGGGAATAAGTTGTGCTTTTCACTGCATTGAGAAATATGAGCAGATTTTGAATATATGTGTAAAACAGGACTTATCATCCATCACATCCATGGTGTAAGTAATAGACTAACTGCAGTCCTACAGTTTGGACTGATGCATTTGAAATGCTTTTCCGACGACTGCGATTTGTGTATACTCGGTAGATTCTGATATGCGTTGAATTCATCAGAAGTTAGAGATATGAATTGTCTCTTGGTCAAGCTTTAGATTTTGTTTTTATGTATACCTACATTGTATATATAACCAGTCTGATTTAGAGTTGGAGCTTTCCTGGATTGATTCCTACCTCACGATGTATGGGACTGGGAAATGTATTCCCAGGGAAATTCTGTCTAGTTTTAAGATTTGTTCTAGGTCAATGCCTCAGATATTTCTCCTTCACATGTAAACTTACATGCAAGATGGTATTTTATTGTGAGGTTTCCTACAAAATGGACAGCTACTAAAGCACGTAACTCATAGAAAGTCGGTTGTGTTGGTCTGACCCTGTAAATGTGGTTATATTAGTAATGTGGCATGGACCACTATGCTCTCTATCTTAGTTAATAAACTGCATGTTCTGAAAGAGGGTGCCGGACGAGAGTTTCTGTAGTCCACCTGAAGAGCTGTCCCCAGGCCTCTCAGCCACCAAGCTACATGTATTGCGACTTGCAGACACAGCACAAGTACACCAAGGCATCTGCGGCACTAATCACTACCATCGACCTTACAAAATCTGCAAGTATTCTTTTAAGTTACATTTCATCTGTTGAACTTTGCCCTCACTTTTGCGGACTGCCTACACAACACAACGGACTCCTGTCATCCCACCTTGGAACGAATCGTCGCAACTCATCTGTATATCTAGAACATTGGCGCCAAGTTTTTTTCTTGAGCTCAAAGTGTATTTTAACTTAGCAGGATCATGCATTCTCTGTAAACCCCATATTTCCATTTGTGGCCATTGGTGTTCTCTGCATTTACTTTGTATTTCTCGTATTGATTGGCTTGGCTCTTTCCCTCCAATAAAGCAAAATTTCTTTTGTATCGTGAATCAAAAGAGAATTAAACCAACATGAAATTTGGTTCCTGCTATTTTGAAATGTGAACCACGGGTTACACATTTATTCCATATTTATGGCTTTTATTCTCCCTATTTGAGTACTATAGAATAAATTTCAGATATTGGAAGGTCCGACAAATTCTTCACCATCTTCCTTAATTTTTTGTCACTACGAAACGTGACTGGCATGATCCAACAGCTAATCCTCCCAGTGAGTAAGTGAGAGGGATATATATTCCTATTTGCCCTTGCTTTACACCCATGTTGCTACATGTCACCCCGTCTTTAATACAATAACATTTTGTAAACTTGACGATAGAGGTCTGTAAAAAACACTGACGCTCAATTCTTCCGTAAGCAAATGTGACCACACAGTGAAAAGGATGCAAAGGGGGGGGGCACAGAAAATTAGCTGGGGTCAACAAGTTCAATGCTGATAACAGGCAAGGGGGTGTTTTCTTTGATAAGCGAAGTCGGAATACAAGCACATCATTTCTAATGCTGTTGAGATCATAACATTTTCCTTTCTGAGTGTTTTGTGACCATCAGTCTCATGATAAGCATTCAATCACTGGAACAAGTTGCTGCAAAGGTAACATTTTCGACTTACACCAATCTCGTTGATGCCGAATTATCCGGCATACGTACACATTACAATGTGCTTGAGTAATATCTCTAGTTCACCGTACCTATGACATTAATGGTGAAGGAGCAACTGGCACTGTTGTCAGACCTGTCCGTGACTGTGCATGTGACTGTGCTTTCTCCAATGTCAAATTGTGAATCTTTCGGTCCATCACAAGACACGTCCGGCGTACGGTCTTCATTGTCTTGTACTCCTGATGGGGCGTAGTCCACAGTGGCGTACGCTTTCCCAGTGTCAACGGACACGTTTTCCATGGGTTCTGGACAAGTGATCTTGGGCAACTCCTCGTCTGTATGAAAAAAAATAAGTTTGAAACATAAACGGTACATACTTCCAGCATGTTTTGGTCAATCTACACAGCAAGCAATGAAAGATTTTCCCACAAAAAGTTTACACTGAAAGTCACCAAACTGTAGGGTATAGTGAAGAACCATTATTTTTGGAATAAAAAAAAACCACTGCATTGACAGAGTGAATCCTGACCAATCAGCAGTCTTGTCAAGTATGACATCTTCCACCAACGGACAAAGTTGGGACTGACCGATCGAGCTGGCACTTCTGTCATGAGCAAACAGAGCATCTGTTATTGTTTGTCCGTGTAAATGAGCGCTGGGTCTAAGCTAACGTGGAGCATTACTTTATCTATTAGAGACAAACACATTAACAGATTCTTGCTGTAAGTATGAAACAAAAGGGAACCGTTTCAAAATATTCATTACCACCTTTCATGCCATTGCTTTTCCTGCCAATGCCAGACTTGTTAAGGCTGATATCGTTGATGTACCCTAATGTGGCCTGCCGGGCCCCTGACGTGCTGCTGTTTGATTTTCATCCTCTTTGGGCCTCACTGAAGCAATACACTTTACTTCACAATTTCACATTAAGTAAATTTCACTAAGCTGTCAAAAATCCCATTCATAAATCTCCAGAGTGAGCACCTGTAACAAAGTTCCAATTAAATTTCTAAAATTTTTCGAAAGTGCAAACAAATCTTCAAGATATAAAAATGATTTTCATTAACTTGTGGTAAGGTAAGGAAGTGGAGGAATAACGAATCAGTCAAATTTTTTAACTTTGAGGAAATCTTAAATTTCAATGCGGGATCTTCTGAGATTTGTTCACATGGGCCATGTTGGGAAACTGTGCGCTGAATTTGTTCCCAATTTCTGGACATCAACATTTTAAATTTGGACTAAATTGTTCAGAAACGTGCAACAGCATGTACCATTTTCAATTTCATTTAAAAGTTTACGTTAATGAATAAATTTGAAGTTTCGTTTTCAATGTGTAGATTTCATTGGCAACATTGCACGCGGAAAACTGAGGGAAACATTGAAGTGTGCCACGTAAGGGGACTCAACTATAATGACACCAAGGTAAGTTATGACGGCTGGGTGTGTGCCCTGTTGCAAGCTGCGTAAAAGTCATAGCAACTTACCCAATCTTGATCTATCACAGGCTATGCCATTGAACAGCATCAGACACAATCCACTATCACAGTTTATGCATTGCTTCTAATTTTAAACTGACTTATGTCCTGAATGCAGTTGAACCTCGTTTATAAGACCACTGTTAATGCAAGATTCTGCTTAAAACAAGGACATTTTAAGGTCCTAATCCTTGTTGTCATTCCTGATAATACAAGGTTCCTGTTCTAACAAGGTAATTTGCCAACTCCGAAGGACCTCTTATTAACGAGGTTCAACCGTAATTGACTTCAACAACTTCTGATGACTTAAAACTAGACTACTCCTGCAGGCAACAGGTCAGTTAAATCATCTGGACAAAGCCATGTACAAAACCACGGTAATGTTATTATGAATTATTGCCGCATGAGCAATGAATGCTCAAACCACTCTAGCTACACACCTTTGATTTCAACTGTAATGTCGCAAGTGTTGGAATTCCCGTATTTGTCAGTGGCTGTGCAGACAACTGTATTGGGCTTGACCCAAAATTTAGAACCGGGTCCTAACTCGCAGGAGACGGCCGGTTTGGGGTCAGCGTTGTCGACTGCTTGGGGCAGCGAATACTGCAATGTGGCATAGGCCTTGCCAGGGTCTGTAGTGTTGCTGATCAGATCTGGGCACACGAGTTTTGGGGGTTGGTCATCTGAAAAAACAAAATCAAAAACGTGTTACTAAAGAACTCCGTTGTGACAGGTTAAAAATATCAAGATTTATGGCATTCTAGCATTCTACAAAGAAGTGTCGTAAAATTTTATTTTTCCATTCACTACAGGGGAGGACTATTAAATTCAACAATATTTTTACACTTACATATATCCCAATATCTTCCTTCTGACCAACAAAATCACAACTACATCAGTATGCTCTCAGACAACCATTATTGAGCCCAGACTGAAGTCAGGCCTAACATTCTTTCACAAGAATCAGAGACACCGACAACTATCCTCAGAGGCCAAACTGAATATTTTACGTAAGAAATTAACTATTCCATTAACAACATATTAGGTCCAATTTTTAAACTTTGTGATCTTTATGAGTATTTTCTGACAAGAAATTCCTCCAGCCTGTAGACCCTAAGTTGCTTTGTGAATCCAAGCCAAAACCAAAGCCTAAACCGAACCAACAACATAAACCTGACAAAAACTTGTCCAAAACAAACCCCGACCTGACCCAACCCAATCCTAACCCACCCAACTTGACCCGACCTACATGTAGCCCAATCCAACCCGACCAGATCTAACCCAAGAAAACCCAAACCCACCCAACCTGATCCGACCTAGCCCAATCAAACCTGACCTAATCTAACCCAACCCAGCGCAGCCCACCCCAACCCAACGTAACCCAGCCCAATTCAACGCGACCCAACCTAACCCAACCCTGCCCAGCCCAGCCCAACCCAACCCCAGCCGACTAGACCCGAACAAACCCAACCTGACCTAGCCCAGCCCAGTGCGGCCCAACCCAACTCAACAATCATGGACCACTTTTTGCCCTTCCACTGTGTATCACTGAACAACTTCCCAGGGCTCAAAAAGAATTCAAACCTTTGCTCAACCATGGCCCTACCATTTTCCACACCCTCTACTGAAAATACATGTCCATCCGCATTCAAACAGAAACACTCTCCTGTCTGACCCAACTAAGATTTGCCTGAAAGATCCAAGCATGACGTCAGAAACGGTTTTCTAAGTAGTGAGCATTTGAATGATGCACCACTTATTAGCAGTCAGGAAGTATCGCATTGATAAGCGTATTTCATAGAACAGCAGGAAAACTGAAAATTGGTGAGAATATGAACAACCTGGACTGTCTATATTTTGGACTGTACAATGAGAAATTGATGAGCCCTTCAGACTGGAAACTTACGGACCCCTAAAATTCGAAATTGTTTGCCATTCAGGGTTTTTTTCACAGCGGGGGTACAATGTTTGGCACTTAAACACTTGACGCTGGATGACATGTAAACACACATAATTTTCCTTATTTGTTCCATGGAGGACTTGTACATTCATTTAAGAATTCTTTTTTTCATTAACGTATGAACATGTTGTGCTTGGCTGGGTCAAAGGGCAATTGCAAGTTTAAAGAATTTACAGGTAAAAAATCCACCTCCGGCAGCTCTTTGGGTAAGAAAATCAGATATTAACTGGGTAAAAAATTCATCGCCTGGTCTTACCCTCAACTTCAACAGGAAATGAGCATTCCTTTGAATTGCCAGCCTTGTCAATGGCACTACAGGTAACAGTCCATTCGCCGACGGGAAATTGGGATCCTGGCCCTTCAGTGCAGCTGACTGTGAGGTCCGAGTCCACGTTGTCGGTGACGTCTGGTAGAGTGTAGTCGACGGTGGCAAAAGACTCACCCTGATCCAGAGTTTCATCCAGCATGGGAAGTGGACATTCAAACTTGGGTGGTTCTTGGTCTGAAAGTAAGAAAAATAGAACAAAAAATATCAAGACATGAGAAAAATTTCACAAAATCAGAACTAGCGCTTAACTTTTCTAATTTATATTGACCTGTCATCGGCTGATTGTTCATGAGGTACAAAATACAGCAACGGGTACATGTAAGCTGAAGTGATGGCAGTTCCACCAACGCTGCCAGGACTGCGGATGGTTTGGACCATCTTGTCCACCATGGTTGCAACACTGGTTATCAAGAACTGATAATGGAGGGACCCATTTACATGAAAAAAAAATGCACAAGATCTCGCCGAGCACGAATGCCATAAAAGTTGCAGCTAACAGAGAAATCGTCTGTCATCATTTGAATGCGACTGTATGGCATGTGCACGTTGTTGAAGTGCAAGTGACAAGTGGTCAACTGTAGTTCTTGACCAAACTTAGGGTCCTCCATCTAAAGATCCTGTATCCTTGGAACATAAAAACAGCTACAACTAGATATTCAAAACCAGCAAAAAATAAAAGCTCCACTGATGGCGGCCTAACCTACCGGAAACCGTGACATTAAAGGAGCATTTTCCTTCATTGCCATACAAGTCGAGGGCTGTGCACGTGACCTCAGTGTCCCCAATGGGGAATTTGTAGTCTTGATCTTTGTCACAAGATGACACCCCGGAAGCAGCATAATTATCTTCCACCAAGGGCAGGTCATAGTCAACTGTGGCAAATGGTTCACCACTGTCTGTAGGTCTATTTATCGGGTCTGAACAGGTAAGCTTTGGTGGTTCCTCATCTGAGCATTAAAACGAAACCGAAAGGGGAAGAACCTTTAGCATTACTCACATCTCAACAACATTTTTAATTTTTGCAGTCGGAATGAGAGAGTAAAAGAATGAGAGATTTAAAATAGAAGTGTATTACAAATTAAAAACAGTTTAAATCGGTGAATAATTTAACAGGTACAATTGAGCAATCTGAAATGTTGAAAGCCGCAATTTAAAACATAAAAAGAGAGACTTGGAACACAAAATAGTCTGGCACTACCTTGCTCAACAAATCACTCCAAATAAGAACATGATGGAAACAGCTTTCACGAAAAAGGTCTCTAAAGTCAGACTCAACCCAAGAAATTAAACGATATCTTTGGTCCAAACAGTTTCCCAAGGATTTTTTCTTCCATGGTTTTACTCTGTGGATATTTCTATTTATCTCATTACCCTATTCAGCTTGCTTTCACATGCAACCTAGTATATCCCTCTCCTAGATTTCTACTTCACCCAGCTGCATACGCAACTAACAATAGGTACGAGCCTGCATATTGTGGAAATGATTCCACTATTTCTTTTTCTCTGCAGACCAATATTAACCCTGCTCTCCTTCACAATTCATTTGAGTTGGAGTACTCAGGCAAACATAAAACAAATTAAAGGGGCAATCAAAAAATGTAACATACAAAAACTTCGGCAAGCCACTTGCTGGCTACATTAGCCTGACATATACAAATCGAATGAGTTAAAGAGCCTGAAGTTTCAGTGCTAACCGAATCTTTCACAGACTCAAAAAGGACAAAGTGCAACGAGACGACCATACAGGTGGGGATTCCCCACATTATTTGTGAGGCATGTTCTGCTGTGCTTAATACCCACCAGTGATTAAGATTGTGTAAGAGCAGGAGGCCTTGTTATTGCTGTCATCGGTGGCAACGCACTGGATTAGGTTGGAGCGCACGGGCAAGGTAGCTGTGTTAGGTGTGCAACTGATGGACGGTTCCTGCCCGGAGTTATCGGTGGCAGTGACCTCCGGGTAGGTGACCGAGGCAAACCCGACGCCTTCGTCTGTGGTCTGGTTCATGTTCCCTGGGCATTTAATGCTTGGCTCCTGTACATCTGCAAATGAATCATGCAGGAAATGAAGATCTGAAGGTGATTGATCAAACTTTTCAATTTCAGTTATGTTTTTGTTTCGCATGGTTTCACATTGCAGGGGAGATGACTTTTTCTTTTAAGCTACATTTTTTAACTACTTCAAGGATGGATTTACACCGGGGAGATGTACATTGATTTGGGTTTTTCGCCCTGCCTGACGTGTATTTAACACTGTACATTCAGTGTATGCCCCTGAAGGCTTGTGAAAAAACCACAAGCGTACTCAGGTGGGATTCGAACCCACGACCTCCTGCTTACTAGTGCAGACGTCTTAGCTACTCTACTACCGAGCTTGCCAGTGTCGGCTGGCTGGTTCAAATCAGATGTAGCAGCAGGTACCGCGAACAACTCTTTCATGGATAGATTTGCGCCGGGGAGATGTAAATTGATTTTGTTTTTTTTTTTAGTCCCAACCGAGTACGCTTGTGGTTTTTTCACAAGCCTTCGGGGGCATACACTGAGAATACAGTGTTAAATACACGTTGGGCCGGGCAAAAAAACTAAAATCAATTTACATCTCCCAGGCAGAAATCCATCCTTGAAATACTTGTTTGTGGTACCCGCTGCTACATCCAATTCAAACCAGCCAGCCGACACCGACAAGCTCGGCAGTTGAGTGGTTAAGACATCTGCACTAGTAAGCAGGAGGTTGTGTGTCCGAGTCCCACCCGAATATGCCTGTGGCTTTCACAAGCCTTTTGGGAGCATACACTGGGTATACAGAGTTAAATACATGTTGGGCAGGGCAAAAAACCAAAATGAACTCATTTTTTTCCATGGAAGGAATATACGTTTACTATCTCAGGATGAGAACTTAAGCCCTTTATTTAAAGCCCAAAATCAAACATGTTTTCACTTGGAAAGTATCTCCACTTTGCTCACTTAAGTTTCTTTGAGTTCTGAAGGTTTTCCTCTGCTTCACCTAAACTGAAATCTCAGGTAAGTTTTGGGGGAAAAAAAAGATTCTCCGGCATTTGGATCAAGTTGCTGAATAAAGACTAATGGCCTAGATTTTCAAATACTGGTATTTTCAGTGAGTTTGCTTTGCATTTTCATGATGGAAAATTTGGGTTTTGGGTTCATTCTTATAGCTTGGTTTATCATTAGTCTTATACAAAAGAGCTGGGCCTTATAACAAAAGACCGTACTCAGAACAAAAGACCGAGCTGCTGGGAATTGCCAATTTTTTTTCAGTTGTCAATAGCGGAGGAAATCCATCATTGTTTTGAATGATTATACCACTGTTTGTAGCATTCAGCAGGAGCGGATTACCACCAGGGACAAAAGCGCTCTATGGATGAGCGACATGATACCGCTGCACGATCCGCATTTAAAAAGAGGCCAGCAGCGCACTGGGCTAGTTTCGGGAACAAAAGACAATTACGTAATACTGCACAATCTGGGCTCTCTTTACAAGGTGGCAGGACTGGCTGAAATGCTTGGGCGTCAATAGATGTTGTCTGTCAGATTAGAGTAGCCACCAGACAGTCATTCGTGTGGGCGTAAAGGTCCAGTAAATGAAGTTATGAATTTTTGAAGAATGTTGAAAACGGAAAATCTTGAAAATCCCCCGGGTATAAGTCATGCAACTTCAAAAATAAACCCGGCAGCATATCGTTAATAAACAAGGTTTGTAGTGAAATCCTAATTTCTGCAAAACATCAGACCCTAAACTGGGTCACTATGCAGCCCTCTTCCATGAGTGTTTCATTAACGGAAAGTCCATCAAATGCAAGGCTTTTCACTGCAATGAGAACTACTTCTCAGTTGTAAGGAAAAAAATAAACTCCTTTGGTAACTTGCAGAGTATTAAAGGTGAGGTTTCCGGGCTCGTCGTCATTGCCACACAGATCTACTATATTGACGTCCGAAGGTCAACAAACGTGACCGTTTCTTTGAGCTATTGTTATGCAGTTTCGGGTGTGATCCCGCTTTCTGAACAGGGCCAATGCGAACGCAGAAGTACCGGGGGAATGAGAACGATGGGCACGTTCCTCCTGTGCGCCAGCGTCGAAAAATATTTTTGTTTTTTCCCCTTAATAGCAGTTATGACTGTGGTGACCAGGTCTTGACTTTAACACTGGCATGCCTCAATGCACAGGTAGCAGTGCCCTCCAGTAAAAGCCATAATGCCTCTCACATTAAGTGAAATCTGCCAAATTGCCAATCTGCTATTATTGACTGTAGCTTCCATAAAGTTTGTGATCTTTCACCACAGTAAAATCAAGTAAAAAGGATACGGTTGATCGGTGGTACTGAATATCGAATACTGTCAAGTAATACCGAGTACTGAATATACCTGCACATATGACAAAACATGCTCATCTCTGTGGGAACGTGTCCGCGGTCGGCTTTCCACAGCCATTATCGGACGGATGTCACGGACAAAAAAATACATTGTCATGCACTGGATGCATAGCCAACTTGTTCATTAACAAAACAATCAAGTTCAAGAATAACTCTCCCAAGACTGAAGTGCAGGTTCCTCTCCATTAACAAGTCAAATCCCTACGAGGAAATAATTGCTTTCCACCACGTTCTGAGGACAGCAAGTGTATCCAAATCAGGCATATACAACACATATATGTGAATACTTTTACACTGCATGCTGGTTCCCATCCATCTTTACACTTCATTCAGCCAATCACTGAACCCCTGATGCGTGGCACAAGTCCACATACACTGAGCATCATTAAAGATTTGTTCAAGTTAATCTGCCAAAGCCAATTTTTTGGTCTTGATTGTGCATGTATTTTCCATTTTTCTTGGTCAGAGGACAAACCAGTGCCCACAGACCGGCCAAACTCTGCTTCTTCACACGTAAAACACAACAGTTACCTTCTAGTACTTATCAACGTTCTAAATAAACAAAGGCTCACAACAAATTATCAATACAAAAAGAAAAAACATTTCCAAAAAACTTTTAGTTTTTCACATTTTATCTTCAAAAACAAAAAAAGAAAGAAAAAGAAGACATAACAGGCCTAGACATACATTGTAAAATTATGTTCAACTGCACTCATATGGTGTACATATGTGCAAAGGTGCTGTATGAGAAATCTATCTTTAGCACCCTTGAACTTGGCCAGAATGACCTAATTTTTTTTTATCAAAAGCACTCAAAGCCAACTGGCCTTGCCCCTTGAAAAGTTAAAGTTAAAGTTGAGGCCCAGGTGACTTTCAATCCCTCTTCAGTCAACAGGATGTTGTGACTAGCCAAATGAAACAGCCCCCTTGTACCCCAGCTTAAAAAATCATGAGTAAGCACTATGGTGTCTTCGCAATTTTGATGGGCCGGGTGTGGAAAGCATCCATCAGACTTTGTGTCACTTGAACTCAGAAAAAACCTGCCTGACCGTTGTGTACGACATGGAATGTACCTTCCTCGCAGTTTTTTCCTGAATAGCCCTCCATGCAATAGCAGCCGTAGTCATTGCTGCCTATACCGTAACAGTAAGCTCCGTTCTGGCATGGGTCGTCATCGCAAGGCCCTGTGTAAAGGAAAAATTGAAAGTGCATGTATGTGCAAGAATGCTCAGTTCAAAACAGTACCGAAACTTGGGGCTAACTTGTAGGAAAATGAAACATCCATAAAACGATCACCTGAGGTTTTGAGGGTTCCAGCATCTGTGGTGTTTGTATATTCACCTATAAAAGGCACTCCCTTAAAATAATAAAGTTTGTTTTCTTCTTTTCTGTAACAACTTTTACCTGTAAAACACTGTACATTCAGTATTTTCCAGATTTTAAAAGAAGTTAAAGGAAAATACCGAGATAAGGAAAATCTTATGAAGAAAATGGCCAACAGGGTTTTGTGACTTGCTGAAGTGCACGCAGCAATCACGTTAAGACACACATCAGATATAAATGGTACAGACTGTATCACAGAGTTGTCAATCTCATAAAGACCAATCCTGGGACAATTATCCAACCTCGGATGGGTTTTTTTATCACAAAATCAGGAAAAAGACCAGCTGGAGTAAAATTGTTTCTTGTCTTGGCTTTTCTCCAGGGAAAAAAATTTTTTCCCAGATGGCAAAAAATCTCCAAAATGGGTTTTGAATGAACATGTACCACGTAGCAAAATGTTTTTGGATTGAAACAAATAAATATTAAAATATGAGTAAATATTAAAAAAAAACCAAAATGACCACGCAAACTGAAAATGAGGAGGTGAGGAGACAGAAAAAATGAAGGCTGAAGACATGAAACTTGAGTTTTTTCCCAATGTTTTGTTCCTTTCTCTTGATTTGATCAATGAGAGAAAAACAGCCTATGACGGGAAGTGATAATTACACCTACAGACAAAATCACGTACACAGTGACCCGGGAAAAGGGAGGCAACGGTCATGTTGGGTACGGTATCCCTCCAGCAAACTTTTGTTTCAAAAGAAAAATAATAAAAGGCGGGTTTGTGTTCTATTCCTTCCAAACGTGTGTAAAATGTTAGCCCTCCCCTACAAAAACCTTGGCCTTTTTGAAAATTTGGTTTTTAAATAGTCCTCGCATTTTTACTGTACAGACATGATAGACCTCTGTCATAGGGCGGCCATCTTGCTTTTCTACATAGAACCAAACTTAGGGTGGAAGGAAACTACTCCGTCCCCTTTTATCAATATGTCAGGTGTCTTACTACTGCCCGACTGCCAGTGGAGATACAGGGAACAAGACGAACATGGCGGCATTATGATAACTGCCCAGAAATCTCTCAGTGAGGAGATTGGGAGATGACCAACCTGGTGTGCAGGTGCACGTTTCACACTGGTACTCGTTCTTCTCATGTCCATGCTTGCAAGTTTCCGTGCAAGAAGATAGGGGATCGCAAGGCGAGTCTAAAATCAGGAAACAAAGAAATAAATCAGAACTTTCAAAGTCTCCTCCGTACAGGGTGAACCACCAGTTCTATGATTTGAGCAAAGTTGAAATGCAAAGTCTAGTTGTCTGCGTGTGTTGACATCCTCCACTTTATGTAAAATTTCACAATAAATAAAAAGGGAAAAGATTACGCAGTGGTTATTGTTGCATGAGTTTAAATAGGCTTCTGTCTACTTTTTTGCATCAGTTGGGTGCACTGGAAACAGGAACCAGACCAGCATGGATCTCAGACTTAATGTCCCTTGAAAAATCCTCCAGAGGTATAAATCTACCAAAAAAGACGAAAAACTTGTACAGAAAGTAAAGATACGATCTGAGAAAAAGAAAATGATGGGAAAAAAATCGGGTCGGAAGTGGGGCTCGAGCCCAGCATGTGTGCTTCATACAGCAGCGAGGTACCTACTTTGTTACTGCAGTGCTACGATGGTAAGAGGTAATTAAATGATAATTGTGCACTAGTGTAACTACAGAATTTGTGTACAAAAAGTTGCGTTACAGTTTAGCCTACTGCAACAATAGCCACTTTGACAAGATTTTACATGTAGTTATACTGGTCTGATTTCTGTGTGTTTGCTTCAGAATGGCCGTGCAACTGTGGCAAGAAAAGTAGGCCTCCTGCTAAACAGCAACCAACCTGTAACCTAGTCCGAGTGACTTGGATTCTATAAATTGCCATTTTAAATATTTAGACATGGTCGGGTGATTTACTGTAGCTTGGCCAAGTCCAAATGTTAAAAAAGGTGATTCGTTGAGTTCAAGTTCACTAGAGTTACTTGGACTACCTGCAAAATGTGTAAGTAGGCCCACAGTGCAGTGCACATGCAACACTCAGCGGCACTGTATTTATGACAAACTACTTTGGGCCCAGCTGGTCGATACAGTCTTGATCTCAGACTATCCTCTGATTCATAGAGTTTTCGTTAGCCAGCATGAATATCAAGAATCATTGCGTTCAGTATGAGTTCACTACACGAAGATCCTACATGTGAATAACTTTAGAACATTGGTGAACATTGGGTCTACATGGTCTATGGTTCACTCACTGATCTCCTTTACACATGTAAGGATCAATGGTTCATTCTTTGATCTCCATTACACAAGTAATTAAGGCACTGAAAGAGAGAGATCCAGCCACAGGATCAATGCGGGTCACGAGTCGTACATGAGCATGCGATCGAACACGTGCGAGCGCGCAGGGTAGAAATAACGGGCGCCCCCAAGAGGTTATTTTCACACACAGTTTGGCGTCTTCTATTTCTTGAATTAAAAAAATTTTAAACCAACTGAAGTACGGATGCTCGATTATTTCTGTCGCACTTAGTTAACCGTGGTCTATCAGGCTTGTAGGTTTGGACCGGCATGCGCAATATGTGGCAAAAGGCCTTACCTTCCGCTTGTCACAAACTACTCTTACCCCGCGCTATAGCAAAATACAACGCGTTTTTCACCAATAGACAAAAGTCCCATGAATTTTAGCGTTTCACAAAGACGTGAATTTGTTTGTCTACAAAATAAAGAATTTTATTCATTAAATATGTTTTGGAAGCTTTGTGTCATTTAAGATCCCCTCTTTCTTGTAATAGCATTTGTTACGTCAAAGGAATGCTCAATACTGGGAAAATAACTGTTCAAAACAGAAACTAGTAGGTTTTACTCTCTGGTATGAAATTCGCCTCTTCGTGAAAATGTTGACGAAGTTTGGAAGAACTTGAAAATGCTTCTCAGCTGTGGACCCTCAAAGCATTATGGGTCACTTTCTGTGGGCCTATCCATGCATACAAGCAGTGCGCACGTGTCAGACCGTAAGCATTTCCGCCCTTTGAAGAGCTTTAAAACTATCGTGCCGTATGTGGGTACAAACCAAAGCAGAATTCACAAAGTATCACAAAATATCGTGTTAATCTGAAAACAATGATATCAGGTTAACACTGATGAAGCAAAAATGCATGCACTTGAGGCAGAAGTTGTTGCTACCTATAAGGTGGTGAGCTTTCCACAATTTTTGCCACCCACGCAAAATGGCAAAAAAACTATTTGTGAACAAAACCAAACAAACCGTTTTGAATTACTAGATGTATACCCAACGGGGTCAAGAGTTCATTTGATTTGCATCACAAATTATTGGAAGTGTTTACAGCAACGTGCATCCGAGTACATCACATAATTTTGATCTTTAAGTACGTTCGAAGAAACAGACGTCAAAACCCACACTGCGGACCATTCTTCCGCGACTAAAGACAACTTGTCACTTTGAACATCTCTTCTGAATCATATCAAACAACACCGTCAACTTCGACCATAATAGTTTGCATTGCATTGTTGGACACTAACTAACAAGCTTGCGATTTTTTTCCCGTACTATTTTTTTTTCGCCCAACGCCGTCTTTTCCGTAATTTAATTATGGCAACAGAATTCAATGATCTCTTAATTCATTCACACTATGGAGCTGTTAAACTTATACAGACTCTTCATCTGTCCTTATGAAAAAAATTCTCCAGACTATCTTCTTTTCATTACCTTAACCAGCTTCTCGATAGCACTTTGAAAAATATGATGACAAAGATAGCATGGATAGGAACAAATCTCCAACTCTTCAGTGACAAAGTGAGCTTTTAAATCAATAAGCCTTGAAAACGTGCTGATCTTCCGAAAATATTTCTTGATACCTAATCAAGCGCACAGAAGTAGTGTACGACAATTACGTTATGTATTTTGTAATGTTCATTTATATTATTAGTGACATCTTGCATTCAGTACTCTGCGCCAACAGTGAGTATTTGTCATGGGAAAAGAGTGACCGACTTGGCCACTTCAGGACCCAGTAAGCATGAAGTGTTATCTAACCCTGGGATAGAGTTGACTTTGACCATGATGTTTTCACCTATTTGACCTGTTCCAGAAAAAATCGTACTTACAAAGATTGATTGAATTGTACCGTTTTAATTGTAACACACGATTTAATTGTAGCGTCTCAGCGTTAGGTGCTCAGCATGATAAAAATTTGAGAGTCTAGCTTTTAGAGGCGATGATTTCAAATGTATTTTTTCTAAGGCAAATTTACACCGAGCCATTGGGGGATCTGTTGAAAATGTCATTTCTAACGTGAACTTTTGCCAATGTTGATTTCACCAGAATGGTTTCTCAATGTTTGCAACAAATAATGCACAAATTATTTGAGATTTGCTGCATGATTTTTGCCTTACTTGCCGTGTTAACTCGTGCGTGCATGCGTAACTGTTACTGTTTAACACTCGCATTAGCTTGAGGTTTTAGATATTTCACAATCAGGTTCGTATGTGTGACGTCACTTCAGCTTAAACCACACCCACTCCACAAGAACTGCACACTGAGCTAATCGCCTCTTACATGGAACTGTGGAACCGGAGCTCAACGCGCAACTTCAGCGATCGTCCAATGGGAGCCTGCAAATGATGGCGCGTCCGCGTGTATGACGAAGCCACTTACGAACCGGATAAGAAAAATAGACCGTTATTCGCGAGTCCTGAAGACCACCAATAGGTGCTGTCAACTGTCAGCAAGACGACTACCAAAGGACACGGGTCACTTTGGTGCCAATGTTTAGACAATCATCTCGGCATGCTACAATGAAATAAGCAAATAAAGTCCTTGAAAATAATAACCGTTGATTTCCATGGCACCCACCTTTGCAGTCACAAGTTTGACAACCATTACTGTCCGTTTTGAAGCCAAAGGCGCAGGTCGTATCGCCACAGTCGACGTTCCTACAGTCCCCTTTAGCAGCAAAAATGGGTGCATATTCAAGTTTTTGTCTATAAGTAATGTGTAATCTTATCTAATATCAGAATAATTTGTGACCTACGAACATCTGGTGACTAAAATTTACTGTTCACAATTCGCATTAAGATAAAAAAACAAACCAAAACCACCCCCCAAAAAAGAAAGAAGAAACAAGGACAGTTTTCTTACCAGATGACCAATTACAACATTCGATGTCTTACAAGTGTACCGATTATTAATGTGAAAGTTTGTTCTAATTCTTGAAAAGGGATGCCGTCATACTGCGGGCCTTTTTCGGCAAGAATAAAATTGAAGTAAACTGTTATTTTGTCGCATCTTTCACATCAACATTTATTGACGCTGCTTGGAGCTGGAACACCAGCAAGAATCTCTACAGTGAGTCTACTTAAACAAAGTAGGTAACGATGTTAATCTTACTTGGTTGTTTAGTGGTCGTCCCTCCCAGTTCTGAAGAAAAAACAGAGAGACCAAAATCAAAAGCAGTAGTTAAAAAGTCAGTGTAGACAGTAGTACATGGCATGGAGATGGATTGGGATAAAGAATTTACAAACAAACTTGGGGCGTGGAAAGAAGCAAAAGGCCGGTCCTTGAAAACAGGTGATACTTTTCAACGCAGATCGAGCTACTATAAAACCCCCTAAAGGCTCAACTCCTGGAAGAGTTTCAATGCCGCTGTATCTTAAAAATATGTTGGGGGTGCGGATTCTGCCCAGCTCTTTTATGGATTAAGGGTGGGTACTTCGTAAACAGTTGAAAATTGCACGTGTGCGTAATGGCGGTTCAAATTAAAAACAAAAGAATTAGATTTTCACTGCTACTAAAAGGGCCTGTAACGGTCATTTGTGATCGCAGCTCAGCTTTTAAAATTCAGAATTTTGGTATGGACATGAAAACCAACCCAGATGGGATCCAAGACGGAAGCCTATTTGCGACGGTATTGCACTAGAGGGTTCTCGTCTTGAATTCCGTTTGCAGTTGGGCTGCAAGCACCAAATGGGATGATGTGTTAACAGGTGTGGGAAGTCAGATCAGCTGTTTGGTATTTCTTGTTTTTTTTTGCCAAATATTTACAAAGCACGTGGCCACTGAATGATAAAGATGCAACAATTCCCAAAATGAACTCACCTGAGCCTGAGCCTTGGCCTGAAAAGAGACAAAATGCCGTAATTGATTGTTAGTAGTTTGTACTACAAATAAAACGATGATTACGGATAGATGCCTCTCTTGAACCTACTGATGGTGAACTTAATTTGATGACGGTTTAGTTAGTTAATCAAACTCATAAATCCGCGGTAGTGTGGGGGACGGAATGCACCGTTCGAGAACAACCAAAATGACATCGTTACTGCACTGACAGGCGAGTCGCCCCCAGTGTGTAGTGACGATGTTATTTTGGTTGTTCTTCAATAGTGCTTTCCGTGGAGGACAGGATAGCACTGCTATATACCCTGAGCTATACTTACTGACACACTCGTCAGCAAAACGGAAGTCTCCAAACAGCCCAATGTTGGTACTGCCGGTGGCAAAACCCACGTACCGAGGGTTGAAGGTCTCACCAGATGGTACTTGGTACTCCAAATAGGGGGCGCTATCACCTGCTCGTCCTAGTTTGATCCTATCCGACGGAAGGTGAGAAACTTTGAGTGTACATGTCATAGAACAAAGGAGCTAAAGCTCTCTGCTGCCATCAGTTCGAAGTCAAATACCGATACAGGGATAAGGTACTGATTCAGAAGCAAATGCCGGCATCAGGAAGAAAACAACTACCATGGAGGCGTGCGATCGACAACTATCGGGAAAATGTATGACGCCTGTCCGGAAAGAGTGAAGTGTGAAACGTCCGTCGGGAAAGCGTGTGGGTCAGGATGGTGCGTCGTGGGGTAATCCTACAAGGTACATTCGTTGTACTTGTGGGGTACTAAAACGGTACTCCACAATATTTTCACGAAACTGATATTTGGAACTGACCAAAAAAGAATTTTTGTCGCAAATCTGTTGCAAGTGTTTCTTTTATTTAAAGGGACATTCAGTCAAAATTTCGGCCGAGGAAAATGATTCGGGGCCAAATGGAAGCAATTAGGAACCTAGGTTTCATACGCTTATGCTTGTTGTTACTACACGTGTGCAGTACCTAGACTTGTTTTTGGAACACAACAAAACTGAGCTAAGACATTTGCCTGTAAGGATTTGGTAGACCATTGAGAGGATGCAAGGAAAATTCAGGAAGCAAACTGAAACCCAACTAAATGCCTCACATTGTTATAACTACGCATAACAGTCAACACAAGTCAAACATGGCCGAAGAACAACCCGAGCTATATCCAGCACGTTATGTGGCAAAGGAGGACCCCCCCTAATGTGATGCGCAAGTTATATACCCTAAGGCCTACTTAAACCCCCCTGAAAATCTGAAAGAAATTCCAAAGATTCCTTCAACACAAAAGAAGACACAATAGAGTGGGGCCCTTTAATTGCCACATATCGTGCATCAAATGACCCGAGCTTGATGTAATTGACCAACCAGATTATTCTCCGTATCCTGAAGATGGACAGACCACTGTCCGAAAGATATCCGGCACGATATGTGGGAAGGAGGGACCCCCCAATGTGATGCACAAGCAGTATACCCTATGGCCATTGTGCCTACTGCACCCCCCTCGGAAATCTGAAAGGAACTGCAAAGATTTCATCAATACAAAAGAAGACGCAATAGAGGAGGGGTTCCCCCTTTGCCACATATCTTGCATCATATGGTCCGAAACGTTCAGTAAACCGGCTCTTTTCAGAGCCACACCTAGCTGTCTCACATACGAGATTTGTCATGCTTCATGGGACGTGCCATGTACTGCAAACCACTGCCTTACGTAACATATGAAGCAAGGTATGAGACGGAGAGAACCCCCTCTGCTTTGTGTTGGTCATTGTTTTACAGGTATCTGAGGAATTCTTTTCAGACATCTAGGGGGGGATGTGTCAGGTAATAATAGTCTTGAGTATGTATAGCAATTGGACATGTGGGGGGGTACCCCTCGGTCTCATTTCTTGCTGGATATATTACGTACACCCACCATGCCACTATACCAAGAAGGCGAAAGGTGGTACCGTCGACTTACGTGTCGCTCTGAAAACAGATCCAGTAGCCATTCATGCAGTGATCCATGCAGCGCAGTTCACTCTCGCGGAAAGGGCTTTCGTCTGCGACTGAGTGCGATACCAGTACGGAACCATCGTACCTCTTGATAGTGGTCAGCAGGTTGTTTTGCCCGATAGCTGGTAAAAGAACGAGCCAAATGGGCGCATTGTCACAAACTGAAAAAAAATCTACAAAATTGCCAGAGCCATGAAATCCAAATTGATCATTCATACATGCACAAGGAACAGTCGGGGTACATTTTCTGAACTAAATGTTATTTAAGTTGCATGGCTGTTAAACTAGATTTTCACCGGACATTTGCCAAAAACTGGCAGCCGAGTTTTGAGTTAAGCCAATTATCACTTTTAGAAAACAAACAAAAGCAAACCAGCCCCCCTTGCACCAGGTCAGTAAATCGGCTCGTCAGCATGGATACCACCAGACAATCGTAAGTCATAGTCTATAATGCCGAACAATCGGCCCCGCCTCAGCATTCAAGTGTAAATTCAAGCGGTGACTACAAAGTTGACCACTGTTCGATGAGTGGGCAGTTGGAATGTCCAGTCCACCATCTAGCACTAGCCCTTGGAGCGTAGTTGCCCGGTGCAGAGCCAGGTATTTCATGTGTGGGTGGTGGTGGTGGGGGGGGGGTGGAAAGCTTATATTCGTGCTAAGTGGGTTTCAACAATGCGTCCATTTATCTAGTGTTCTGATTTTTTTTCTAGTCGCACACATGTACATAGTCTAGATTATTTTGATGATCGCGTCTTTCGTTGTGTGCAATGCGAATCGCGCACAACACGCACAGCTGAGGAGGCAGACTTTAGGCACCTTTCCATATGTACGTAACACTTCTACCAAGCGTTGCGTACCAGTTAAAATTACTCCCGGGCGATTTTGACGGCCAAATGCAACGTACACGTGTGTTATCTTGATGGAGTCGATGTTGGTGTCTGTGAATTAACGGAAACGCATGAACGCAACATGTCAAAAAAACCGTACACATGTGCGTGTTTTTCGTGCGATGTGTACACAATTTATGCATGCGTTTCACTTTCACTGACACAAAAATCAACGACGTATCTGAGCACACGCCCCTATACGCGGTGCATGCGCATTACGAACGGCCGCCAAGATCGCCCTGAGAGTGATTCTGACAGATACGCAGCGCTTGGCGCAAGCGTAGTAACCCACCAACCGTCCTCAAGATGATTGATGGTATTAAAGCCCTACTCTCTCTTTTCTAGTTTGGAAGATTTCATGGTTCCACCAAGCGTTTTCGTTTTGGGTTGAAATGAAATCTTGTTCTGAGAGCTGCAGTTGCAGGACCAGGAAAGGGCGCAATTTTCCTACCAACGCAGACTCCTTTTTTAGGAATTTCACGTGCGTTCGATTAGCTTACACGTGTAAGTCAAACTTACACGAGAGCGTTCGTTTAGCCATCACGTGACCTTCGTGTCTGCCCTGGTGCCAGCTACCACTACCCCGGCTGGCAATCGGGCCCGGTCTCTGGAAGCTAGCTACCCGATTGTAATGACGTCACGGATGGACTGTTCGAGCATGGACATGATGGAACGTGGCGGGGGGTGACCTTTTTCCCAGAATACCTTGGCCAATACACAGCAGCGTTCGATTAGCCTCATTTAGTTACGTGTAACACTGGTGTATATTCAGGGAAGCTAATCGAACGCACCCCACGAGATGCATGCGTTGCGTGCACGTCAATACCAACAAAACACTCCCAACCAGCACGGCTCTTTTCATCCGATGAGAGGGTACATCTGCTGAAGGTAGAGAGACGCCTGTAAATTCTACGGGCTGCTTTTTCCTTTTCCTGAGTTGCTAACCAAATTCGTACGCATACATTACGTATAGTTATCATGAAAAGGTGAGTCACGTGCTTAAAACGCATTGTGAGCGCAACATACACGCGGCGCACATAACACGCAAAGAAAATGTGCATACGGAAAGGCAACTTCGACTCCATGGGCTGTTTGCGCGGTCTTTGAACCAACATGTCGCGGCAAGATCGTACCCACGGGAACGGGGTCAATGCAAAGGCGTCTTTTAACACGCACGCCGCGCGTAATATTTCGGGATCTGGTTGCATATTTGGCGTGGTCTAGCTTGCATATCAGGGAATACAGAGGAGACTGGAAGACCAGCCGGCTTCAGAGGATGAACAAGTTTGGTATCCCAAAAGCGCATGCTCAGCACGCGCTAAAGGAGGGTACTTCCATTCGCTCTCTGCACGCTGTCGCCATAGGTATGCAGAGCCTCGATCTGGCAGCTTTAGGCGGTTCAGTGATTCCTGTGTCTGTCGCTTATGTAATTTTGGGCGTGCTGCGTTAGTTCTTATACCATGCGATTGGAGAAAGCGAATCTGACGCAATTGTGCAATTAAGCTGCCAGTTTGAGGGTCTGCATGGCTCTGGCAAATAGAGCAAACAGAGCTACTGCGCCAATTTCTCCTTCTCCGAGCGGAGAAAATTTAACACCACTTGGGGCGCAGACACTTTGAACCCATGTGCGTGTTTGTAGAACATTCGAAATAAGAATGAATATCAAATTATGCACTCTAAATGCAAAAGCACTTTTGGTACATACTCAGAACAAAATGATACGCTCATTTAGGTTTGCGCACAAACATAGATGTGCCAAGTAGGAGTCACTTTATACATGCATCAGCGCTCTCTTTTTATATCTCAATGGATACTACCAACTTCACAGATACACGCATTGTATCATTATCTATTACTATTACTACTGAAGGCGCCTTTCCGTATGCCTGTCAACATCTGCGGCAAGCGTTGCCCTTTGGACGGCCGAATGCAACGCACACGTGTGTTATGTTAGTGGAGTCGATTTTTTGTCTCCGTGAAAGTGAAACGCGTTGACGCATCGTGTACGCAACCCAACCTAAAACGTACATAAAGGCGCCTTTACCCTAAAACCAATCCAAGGCACTCGCACGGCCGTCCGCACGTACGTACGTGCTGCGTACAAAATGGGGATTCAGTGCGCATCGTTCGGGTCGCTAAAAGTTTGCCTGTCCTCAAATTTCCCAAGAATATTTTTGAATGATGCTCTCTGATGCCATCATTCTCCACTGCATCCGGTATTTTGGAAAGAAATATCTTCACCAGTATAAGAGAATTATGCTCCAAATGACGGCTCGAAACTTTCCATCCAGTTGCCTGTACAAATTTGTTTTACCTGTCCAATCCTCCTTTTTTAGGCACGTACACGACTTCAGCTCTGTGGTTTCTCCTTTAATGCTAGTGAGGATGCACTTCCACTCACGGCAAACTTCTATTTTAAAATGATTTCCGACTCAATTCCAACTTGCAATTTCAGATTTTACATCCCTTTGAAAAGAAAATCCTCTAGAGCCTCAATTAAAGCTTTTATTCAAGTTGAGCCACTCAGAGTGTTGTTTAAAAAAATCACTTTCAGAGATGCATTATTCTAACACCGAACTGGCTTACTGATACTTACTGATGACGTATGCTGCAGTGTCCTCCTCTGCATAGGGGGACAGCATGATTCTTACGTCACTGTTGGTCAACACCTTGAAGGAGAAGGAGAACTCGCCATCGTTCAGGACGTTTGTATCGAAGGTGTACTCTCCTGTGCCAGCGGTTGGTCGGTATTCACACGACAAGTCGTTTACTTCGGAGGACAAATAAACAGAAAACTGTCACAAATGAACGAATGAGATTGAATCAGAGCCCCTTCGTCTCTAGTCCTTTGGTAGACGGATTAGTTCAAGCGTTAAACTTGTAGGCTTACTAACCGTAAAAGAGCTGCGGGTGGCGGGAAGCCGCTGTGAGAGGGGCCAAAACTCCTGGCTATTTTAGGGTTAATTTACACCATCAGTTGCTATGCATTCGATTGCTTTAGATTTTCCAGGCTAATTTTGGAAAATGTGTAAATGAATTAGTAATAGCAGCATTCGTTTTCGAGCGAAATATAATGAACATTTAAACCCCCGTTTCAATTTAACAAATATAAATTCTATTGCAATGAGGGTGTATATTCAGTCGTTCAATTTCCCAGCATTGCACTGGTTCAGTATGTCGACATTCATTTTTGTGCGAAATTGAGTGCACCTCTGCAATCCTGTAACCAGCTTAATTTGAACTCAATCTTTTTCACAAATTATGCAGGCGATTTCACGCGAAGTGTTCTTCGGGCACTACGGGTCAAGGATTAGAATTGGTTTGTGTGCTAACAGAAGTTGCATTTTTGGAAGTGTTCAGTTGATTCGTAAAATGTTGGAACATTCCTGATTGAAATAAACCATTTAGGTTGTCTTTGGAAAGCCAACTGTGCGAATCATGTTGAAACACCGACGCTAAGGGAACTTTCCTTCTTGTGATGCGTGTTTGATCTGCTGTCTCCTGCACGCTCTGGCATTGGCCTTCTTGATCAAGATTATAACTCCTAAGGGATAAAGGTTGTTATTGATGGTGTTTACCCACGTTCGTCCCCCAGTCTTTTTTACTCTTCTCTTTACTTCATCATAAGTAATCTTTGGCTGGTGCATTGTGGCAGATGCATCATAAAATACTTCATAGGTGAGTAGGAAAACAAGTAATAGGTATATTTGTTTTTCAAATATTAGCACCAAGACCCTAAGAAAAATATATTATTGATTCCCCCAATACCAAAAACCTTGATATGCTAGTGGGTGACCGTCATACTTAATTCCAAATGACAGCCTATCATGTCAAGTACTATGATTCAAGGGCCGGCTTCGCTCACAGAGTAAGCCCCGTGACTGTTTGCTTACCACTTCCACAAGCAGACAGGTATCTGATTCAAAATAAAGTGTGAAAAATAACCGTACTAGGCAGGAGTGCCCCAATCCTCACAAATAAGGCTTATTTGTACTACGGAGTGAACAATGACGTTTTGATATATATTTTCATTCCATTTCTTCCCCAAAGTGTGTACGACGCCCTGCAATTTTTGCCCTTCTTGTCTAAACATAGTAAAGATTACAAAAACTAATCGTCAAAGTTTCTGGTTTCTGATAAAACGTTCCCTCCCAAAAATTTGTGGGTGGTTCCGTTGACTTTATTTCTCGGGGTGTTCTTACCTATCGACGAGACAAGCGAAGGGAGTACAGCAACAATCAGAAGGATAAGGCTGCCCATCCTTGGGCCTTGATGAGGACACCTGGCAGACGGCAGGTTCTCCAGTTCAGTCAGGCTGATAAAAGAAAGAAAACCTTAACCATGCAAACCATAGTGAAAGAAGCGTATTGCCAGCCAAACTTCTTTCACATCACCTGCAATTACCTGAAATATAGGGCAACTACTTCGATCAATCATGCACAGCCTTTAATTACCCACTCGACACTCCTTAAGGTTGAAATATCATTTCTTTTTAAGGGAATCATTTCTGTAACAGTTTGATTTGATGATACAGTAAAAGGGAAATGATCAGCAAAAGGCAGCACTGAATCGATGAAAATAGCAACTGATTGGAGCGAAGTTTCAACCCAATATCAAATGTTGCTTGCAACTGTACGTGATTCGGACCTTATCAATGGCCGTGTTTGTACGTCGGAATCTTTTGAGCCGCAGACAGGTCCCAGTAGTTCCTGTGGTCTTATTACACCTTCCTTTAAAAAAAGTTTAAACCAAGGATATACACCGTACAAGTGCCGTGCAGAACTTAAATTGTTTGTTCAAGGCCGTTTCAAACGTTGTGCTTTATGCCTAAGCACAATGTTTGAAACGGGCCTAACTTCGGCACGGCAATAGCACGGTATATAGCGTCAATGTGGCTCGATAAATTACATTCAGAACGGCAAACCCTTTAAGCCCTCAAGCTTGACGGGGTACATGCCGAGCTGTCTGTACATGTGTTTGCGCAACTGCTGGGCTATTGCCGTGCCGTTGCCACACCCAGCTCAAGTTTGCTCGACTTTAAAAAGGTGCATAGCCTGGGCCTTTACTGTCAAAGGTTTCGTCCATGCGGTATTTTGAATGAGACTTTATAGAATTGTTGCAGCTTGTAATCGTAGGAGTTCATTTTCCAGTTACATTATTAGTGTGAAATGCACTCGAAACAGTTCGAATCAGATATAAGGTGTAACATAGGAGAACATCAATCAAAGTAATCAAGTAGTCTCGGCAGAAAAAGACTTACAGCCAAAAGATGGGAGGCAAAAAATAAACGGCGATTAAGAAGAAGGTAACATCTATATGTTTTATGCTTCCAGTTCGAATCCGCACCTTTATCAATAAGAAGTTAAATACTTACATTTTGTTGATGTATTGTTCTTGCCGGCAGCTTGTGTTTCGTGAGACAGCCTGGCCGCAAGTGATAACAGTGAATAGTTTTTCCACCAACAGCTTCAAAACTGAACATGTTTTGTTCCCAATTCCTTTCAATATATTGATTTCCACATTGACCGTGCATTGTCTAACCACAAAAAGCAGTCCAATACACCTGTTACAAAGTTCGATACTTTGTGTTCTGCCTTTGTTTCAAACTGACAGTAGTGCATAACGAAATGCCAAGGTTTTGGCAACTTGGGCAGTTGCAAACAATGCCCATTCAATCGATGAGATGAGCCTCATGGCTCCACAGTTTTTCTACTGAGTATACTGCAGGCGAAGATGGAGTAGACGGGTTGGGAGGAAACGGTCTTCTTTGTTGTCATTTTGTTGTTACGATAGCAATCTGAAAGTAAAAATCATCCGAATTATAGATTCTAAGAATTCATTTGATTGTTGTTCAAATTGTCGTTGCATGGGATATTGCTTTAAGCAGAGGTAGGTCTTCAGGATTTTAAAAGACGCCGTCTTAATGATGATTTGCATGATGTAAACGAAATAAATGAACACAGACATAAGGGTCTTGGTGAGAAAACATTCATCCTAAAACTTCACCGTAATTTTTAATCAAGACAAATTTATTTTATACACCTGTGCCGTGTCGTCAGTAACAAACAGAAAAACAGGCACGTCACATTCTCACATTGTTAAACTTTTCCAACCAACTGGTATGGATTATTAATGCCCTTCATATTATCATAACAATTGTATTTAAATCTATTTAGTCGGAATGAATCAATTTTCTTATTGATTAGCCTAGAAGTAATGATTTCATCGAAGCTCACGTACTGGGTGTCAAAGAAGCATCAGACAGGCTATTTTTTAAATAATCCATAAAATCAAAAGAACCAATTTATTTTGAGGGAAAGTGGGTTTGAGCCATAAAACGGTATCAATCTGACTATTATCATGAAGGCCACAGATGACCTTTGAGTTGAAAATCCCTAGGCTTGATCTTAGAGCTTAATTGATAGACCTTTTTATCGTTCGTGGGTACTGGTGACCTCTCTCCTTCAAGCCCAAACCTATTGGACTAAATTTTTCCCCTGCCGATCAGCGCTGTCATTCACTGATTATGCCAATTTCAAGTGTAGCTGCATGAATTTTTCTGAGACACGATTTTTTCCTGCAATTTGTACTCTTCTGCAATGTATAAAAAGGTCTGCCAAATTTATCTCTGGTTAAATGCATTGAAAAAGTGCACTTTTAAATTGGCGACCATAATTATCCATGCTCTCCAGGACAGCTGAGGGCGCTGTTGCTATGATGTCATCCAGGAAACACATAGCTCAGTGCAAAGGTTTTTCTGTGCAAATTGTGAACACAGAATACACTCAATGAAAACATGTCTAAGAAAGGGAATGACACTTCCTGCTATACACACGGTCAACAGTGAATCAGCAAAGAAGAGAAAGTGTTTAGTCCATTAAGCCAACTAAAATGCACGTCTTTCTTGTGTACAAACCAATGTAACACTGAAGCTTTCCTCCTTGGTTGACATCACAGTTTTGCTCCTGAATATTTACATTTTCAGTGGCATAAAGACCAAAAAAGGCAGTAAAACGCCCTTTGAAAGAGTGAAACAAAAGTCAAACAATAAAGTTAACTGAGACATATAGGTGCAATTGGAAGGTACGTATTAAAACAAATTGATTGCAGCAACCTTTTTACGGACAACGCCCGAATACATGTAACCACTTCTGTCGTTCGACCGGTTACTCGTCTCACCGTGCTGCTGAATTAAGCGTTCGAATGCACGATGGGGCCCCTATGCCAAATGAAATCCACGCAAAACTGAGCGTTCTATTCCAGAGTCTCACGAAGGTATGTGATAGTGACATTATTTTGGGCTTTATTCTTTTAAAGCAGGTTTGGTTAAGAATTGTATTCAGACACTGGGTAGAACAATGGATGCTTTGCCCCTGTTGCGAGCAAACATTCCCCAATGATCTTCTTGTAATGTAATCACACACTACACCAGACAAGGCTACCTGCTTCAAACAGTCTGTGGCACCATTAATCCTTAAACACCAAATAATCCTAATTGTTTAATTATTGGTTTCCACACTCTGCTGTGAATTTCAGGTATTGATGAATATGCGATGAAGTATCATTGAATTCCTGTAAACTCTATGTTTGCTACTAATCCTCAACAGCTGCACTCTTTATTCTCTGATTGATTGGAGGTGTTTCAAAAGATTATACCAAACAAACAAGAGAAAATTAAATTGGTAACAGGCGTTCAAAATAAATCAATTAATCACTGCAAGGTTGGACTCCTGTGTTAATCTGCTGAATACATTTTGCTTATTACAACGTCAGCCATGAACAGAAGCTTTTCTCGGGAAACAAGGTTGTAATTATCGTGACCTTTACTCTTTTCCTCAGTCTATATGCTTGTCATTTTCCGAACCATTTAACTTAAGACACATGAATAGTACCATTGAGGCCAAGATAAAACTCAAACAAGACCTGAAACGTTTCTCAGGAAACGTGTTGTACAAAAAAGCGAATTCTCCACGAAATGAGAGTCAGAAATGACAACAATACCAGGAGACTCAAATAAATTTCAAAAATTTCTCAGCGAGGGTTTTTTGTTGAATGTTTCGCCTAGGTACCTTTCCCTTGAAGCTCTGTGTGAAAAGAAACTCTCCAGAGGGCTCATAACTCTGACCAGTAAACTGCTTATTATAATGTCTTATTGTACATTAAGTGTTCATAAATACCTCAAACCTCAACACTGCACTGATGATTACGTTATGCTTTGCGCTTGTTCATCCCTGTAAAGCCCCGACTGGAGGGAGAGAGGGCGCAATTTTCTTTCCAGCGGAGGCTCCTTTGCTGGGAGCTGCACTTCGCTGCATCTTCATGCAGTCAATAATAAAAAGCCTATCTGAACTTCGTGGATATTTGATCGATTTTCGTTGAAAGAACGACATCATTTGTCTAAATCCAGACGAACTCAACACGTTCTTTAGCGTCACTTGATATTGAATATTGTCGCTTGTTTGTCCAAAGCAATTAGTGAACATAATGGATTCCGCTGTATTTTTGGAGCACGGACAATCGCCCACACAGGCAGGTGACCTTCGCATTGGCTTTTCGGACAGGTGCATTGGAGATTAATCCGCGCACTGAACAAAATGCAATCGATGTACCAAAAAAAATTCATCAAAGTGCACAATTAAGAGGGCTGATATTCCGACATCATTGTGCATCCGTCCAACTAATCTGGCCACGTGATTTTCTGAACAAAAGGTACAGTGATTCCGCCATCACGAGCTGCCATTATCTTTTGTACTGACGTCATCTGTTTCCCAGAATCCTATATACGACGCAACAATTTTTAATGTCAGGCCAGCTCCCAAACGGGCGTTTTTCATGCCGGCTAGGGCAATGCACTGTAACGTTCTGATGGCAAACACAGAAGTCGTAGCCACAACATACCCTGTTTCGACATGGGCTTACTTCGAGTTGACGAATCGCCAAGAATCGTTGGAGAGTTTTTGTCCCCTATTAAGATAATGTGGGGATTTTGTGGATGCTGGTCTTATAATCCCGTTATTATTAATTTTTGAACGTAGATTTTGTTCGAAATGATTTTAAGTTCCTACATGTCCTCTTCATCCACAAACCATTACACCCCCCCCAAAACAGGAAAAGGTAGTTAGCTTTGACCCTACTGCAGTTCTATCTTTCAGTAACCATGACCGGGAAATGACCTGGTAGTAAAAAACATCCACCTCGCTGCTCGGAGTTATTATCCGACCGGAGTATTTTTTTCCGGCTGAGGGGAAGCCCCCATGTTTACTGTGACCAAACCCTGTTGTTGGGCATGAAGCGAGGTAGGATTAGACGGGAGGTCTTTGCAGTTGGCCATTAATCTCTATTTTTAACAATCAATTAACAAAAGTCGGCGTAAACTACTGACGTCAGTTCCTTAAACCAAGAATTTAAACGAGCATAATGATAATGATATTTTTGTTAAGGGAGTCTACCGCATCAGGTTTTGGTCTACCACAGAGCTACCTATAGGTGAAATAACGCTAGATAATGGGCCAGTTTTTTTTCAGGTGGATCTGGACTCGGTCAGTGATCCCTTCGCTGGTTTGACCCACCAACTGGGTGGGCTTTGGTGTCAGTTAAGCAACGAAGGATCACTGATCGCAATCTGGATCCGCGTGAAACAAACTGGCCCTGAGTTTGGAAACGAAATTCACCATTGAATATCAGCTGTCAATGTGCACTGCGCGTGCACCTGCCAATTTGTTTCCAGTAATAGTGACGTGATATTCATGTTGCAACTCTCTCCACAGCCCTGGTCACTGCAGAGCTATATATAGAGAGAATCACCAGCTTAGACTTTGAATCCAAATGACAGTTTCTTATGTGTTCGGTACAGCATGCAGCAATTGTGTGCTAATTTTCCAATTAACAGCTAAGTCTATTGCGAAGAAAAACCTCACTAAGTAACTTCCTCTGCCGAAATATAGAAACAGAAGCGTCGAAGGGTCGCAACTAAAGATTTTTTAAAAGTCGTATCTCACCGCGGACAGTATTGAGTAGGGCCTTTGTATTTTGCCACGGGAATAGTATTTTCAAGTGCGAGTTTACTACTTCACCACTCTGTGAGAGAGTGAGCAGGGCTGAACGCAAATCATTTTGACGTGCTGTTCATGATGTGTAATTCCAGTGCATTTGCTCATGCACTTGCATTATTTTTAAAATTCTTGTTTCCATGCCATCATGAAAAATAAAAGTACAATTTCTGTCAAGAAATTGTTCGTTTTGCTTTGTTCAAGTTATGAATTTAATATTTGCAAATAAGCAAAAACTTTACTCATCATCTGCTGTAATTTACTGTAGAAGCTAAAATCTTCAAATTCATAACAAAATTTTAATGCTGAAATGATGGAAACATCGAGATTTGTCGTAGAATGGTTAATACATATGATAATTTATCTGAAAGCTTTTGCTGCAACTCACTTCTGCTAGAGGTACGCTCACAACTGATTTAACTCGTCGCAGCGAAAAAATCACTTCGAAATTATAAGCATAAAGTAACGCGCAGTAGTCACGCGCAGTAAATGCGTAACCGTGACATGGCGGTGACTTGTTGACTTGTATTGTGTTACAGGCTATGGGTAAGCGTTACACCATTCTGTGCATCGGACAAAAATGCAAATGAAAAAATTTTGAGCGAAACCATTTCGTTTTCAACATGTTCAAAAAGTTGGTAAAAAATGGTCATGTTGAACCAAGGGATTTCCTTCAAATTTCTGCAGACAAAATCCCAACCCTTTGGTAACCCAAGGAATAAAACTGAAATGTTGAAAGCATTTTTACCAAAAAGATTCTTTTATTCGTGGATTTTAGGGGTGTCACCCAGGAGGCGAAATAGTATAAGCACATTCATCGCACGGACTTGTGTGTGGGATAGAATGCCCTGTTTCGAAACCAAAATACAATTTTGTTTCTGATGCCATCATGTAGAGTTATAGACAAATAGTGTGCTTATTTTTACATGAAAGACAAATATATGTAATTCATTTAGATATTGTACAACATGGGAAAGTGACTGTGGACATGATTTTTACGTACATTCTTTTTTTTGTACAAATGGTAGTGGCTCACAGACAGCCGTTCCCACTCGGCTCTCGGCCCCGCCTCTGAGCTCCCTGGTCGAGTTCGGGCGGCCTTTTCTTGGCACGGGTTTCTTGTTCTCGCGCTCGAACGGCTGGAACACGACTCAAGAACACTGTTCTCGGAACAGGATCACACACCACCTCCTCGTCAGGGGAACACACGGAAAAACTCGTTAGATTTTGATTTTTGAACTGTTGCAAAAAGTTGAGCAATGGCTTTCAAAGCCAGATTTACAAAAGTAACATTACTCATTTTCCATAATACAGAAATGAATGTTCCTGTTTAAACAGCAAAGAATTCAGCCCAGTTATGCAAACATTGACTCGAATAACGCACATGGACGCCGCCATATTGCATGTTAATTAACCGGTTGTACGTTTCCGGCGTTCGAGCGGCTGAACAGAAAACAAATCGAACTGTTCGCCAATTCGTGAACATACGCCCAAACTCAGCCTTGGGTTAGTGTCACGAGGTCTATTTATACTCGTCCTTTTCATAACTCCCTAAAATAAAACGGAAAATTTACGTCTTTCGTGGATGTTAGAAAAGGTCACGTGCTTTCCTGCGTAATCATTGTGTGCGTTACTAAGAAACACTCCAGCTCATTCAGTTTGGATGGAGCCGACAACTACTTAATCAACAAATGGCGCCCTCTTCCCAATCTAGAAGGTAAATATTCACTTGGACCACAGATAACTACATGTATTTACAGGTGATATCTTACCGTGCAACGGTGCCGTTTACCTTGAATGAAATTCCTTTGACCTTTCATTGTGTACAGACTCTGCGGACATGAGGATTCTGGGTTAACACTTCTCGCAAGTTGCTCCCGGCGGCATATTTGCTAAGGACAACGGCAGATCCAGAACCATTGTTAATTTATGGAAGGGGATTCTTGACATGCACATCAAATTCAAACATTAAGCTAAGACGAAGGGGGAGATTTCCAGTTTTTGCCTGTAGATTGTAGAGAGTGTACAGTATATGCGATGCTCTACTTTACTCCAAGTTTATTCAACACAGGCAAAAAGTTCCACGTATTTGACTTATTCGTACAAGCGGGTAATGCGAAATCCGTGAAAGTTGGGGCGAGAATATAGCACCGTACGGGTCGAGCTGGTAAACAACGCTCGTGACAATTCACCCAAACGTTCAGTCAAAAAGCACTCACTAAAGTCCTCCAAACTGAAGTCAAATGATTGCGGTGCTCGCGATACAGAATCATAAAAACTGGTACTTAACAAGAATGATGATCATGGCCTGTAATCTTCCGATATGAACAGCGAACAATCTACAAAATCTGAGCATGTACTGACAACTTCACGTGTTTGAGACAGGTACAAAAGCTCAAGGCAAAGTGTGACCTTTGAACTCACGAATATATAAAACTCATTAAAGGAAAAGTGCTAATCTTAAAGGTGCCGCTACAAGATCATCGCTTGTGCAATGTCTGCTTGTGCGAGGTACAAGTTAGTTTCCCAAAAACACGACAATAAATGTAAGAAATAATTCAGGCGTTTTGCGATAGTGTGCCACCAAGAGTTTGCAATGCATTGGCCAATCACAATGTGCAAAAATGTCAACACGCAACGCCGGTCGACACGACACGTCAACCCATTCAAACGTGCATTGTGCACAGTGGCCACTGCGTTACAAACTCTTGGCGGCGCACTAGGGTGCACTGCCCAATTCAAGGGAAATTCTTCGGCAGAGCGAGGCGCTCAAAAAGTACCCCTAGAGTTTATTTGGAAAAGAGGAGATTGTGTGGCTCAAGAATTTGTGGGATTGTAAAAGAATGGCCCAGAATGAACTCCCTAGATTCAAGGGCTCCCATCCCAGGGCAAAGCATAGAAAATGCCACTGAAAAATTGTCCCAAGAGCCTGAAAAGGTGGAGGGATGTCATTTGAAAAATGGCCGCTGACAGACTTGGGAAGGTTCACTCTTTGGAAGGTGAGTTTGTTTTGGGTGGATAATTAAAAATTCCATTGGTTAACCTACTAAAAATTGAAAATCTATTGAGAGCTGAATGACCCCAGAACACTTTGTTTTTTGTTTGAGAGGCCTGAGGGTCTTTGGTTGCCCGCACCGGGGCTGCAAACGTGGTCGATTTTACATTGTCTTCAATGGGGCTTCAATTAGTTCAGTGCACCCACTACTGCAAAACGTCATTAAGTCTGGATACCAGACCAGAAACCCGTCTCATCGAATCGAGGGTCCGGTATCACGTAGGCTCAGACTACGCGGGGTCCTCGTGGACTTCCGCACATCCTTGGCCCCAGGACTACCCCGACTTCCAAAAGTGGAGACTTCGTGGAACAGCTTTCTCTGAGACCCTTTTCGTATATAACGACTTCACTCACCCCAATTGGGCATAGACGGGCGATTTTCCGTCTGTTCCTGTCCGTAGAATTTTGGGTTAAATGGTTGTCTCAACGTCGGCCACTCGTTTCAATTCATTCTTGACGTTTGATGGGTGACAAACGCAGTCGGATCGGGATCTATTTGGCTGAGGAACTAGGCAGCGATAAATGGGATCACCTATACCCGTGTTGTTTTTGCTGGCTTTGTATCACAAAACAGCCGTAGTGTATTTGCATAAGTCACGTCGTTGTTGTGAATCACAATAGGGAACAAAGCCTAAAAGTAGATCCCTGGTGGCGCGCTTCCGGAACCCTTGGATGGGCAAAACAATGCGCAAATATATTAGGATTTAATTGTAATATTTTTTAATTCAGTTAGATAAGACTTGAAGCTATGCATGGTGGAAGTACTAAATAGGTTAGGCTTGCGGTTGGACGATGTAGAGAAATATCCTGCCAAACCTGACCTGACACTACCGAAAATCTAAACAGTCCAATGCTCTGGTCTCGTAAGGAAATGAAGGGATTGGGTTCTATGGGAGTCTGTCGGTATAGGCCAAATAAAAATAGACCAAACAGTTTAAGGATATTGTTCGTTATAAGGAAATAAACTTAAAACAATAATCTGCTTAACGAAAGATTCTAAATCTCAATCTGTTAAGCTTTGCTGACGAGAACTCTATCAGGTCAACTCAATTGAATCTAGAACCTATCGACTGCAGATAGGTAAATTTTGGTCGCCCATCTACATGAATTACTGAGCAGTTGGGTGAATAAAGCCGTAAACAAAAATGGAGCTAATAGGAAACTTTTTCACAGTCTCTAGGAAGTTCGGTAGCCTGGTTCCACTCTAGGGCGAGGTATCACCCAATTTCAACATAATAAAATGAGAGGATTTTTTTCTTTTGCTTGTTGTCCACATGCAACACAATGTTGCTCCCTTCCAACGCTTTTTTAGGAGTTTTTACATGTTTCAAAGTGTCTGCCAACATTAGCAGCTTGCATGTACATATGAACTCAAGATCCATCCAGAGCTTTCCTTATGATTCTTGACATATTGTGTCATGATATATTTATATCTCTGGGTGATACCTGACCTAAGATTTTCTGGAGTCGGCAGGGCATCTTTGGTCTGGGAACAAGACTAGGCATATACATCATGTTTTCCGGGTTACCTACAACCTTAATGGTTTTCTTTATGTTTGCATGATGGACTCTAACATATTGATTGCTTTCATTTGATGTTTTTGATCACGAGACAAAACAAAGGTAATCAGAACCAGGCTGAATGCTTGAGTAATTTAATTTGTCCCTTCAACACCTAATTCAAATAAACGGCTAAGTCCAACACCAAAATTAAGACAATACAGTTTAAATATTGTTTAAGCTAATCAAACAAAGTTCAGTATGTAAAACAGGATAATGTTGTGTTAATTCCAGGATCATGAATTGCCCCATGAAAAAAAATCAACTGTTGTCTGAATGAAATTTAAATAAAATTTTGCTTTTATGAGAACGGCCAACCAAGCATACATTATATAAAATATAATGCATTTCATCAAATCTCGAAAACTATTACTGTCAGTATGGGGAAACGTTCACAAAGTTACATTATGAGTGGTCATTAAACAAAGCACTGCTATTTTTGAATCGTGCTAAAGATGTAGTCTATCATTTGCCATTTCTGCATTATATTCCTCTGAGGAAACAACCAAACTCAAGATTTAAATTAAACATGGGTTTCCTAAGAACGAACCTGATGAAGTTAATCTCATTTAATCCTGTATATTCAACGAAAGACGATATCCCATGATGTCGAAAATGCCAAATAGAATAATTTAAAGGGTGTCTAGTCTCATAACCATCTTTACACCTAGTTTGCTTTTCAATAATACTTTCGTAAGGATACCTGCAAATGTTGGAGTTGGACTGAACCTTTAACACGCAAAGTTCAATTTGGGGTTGTTTTAATTTCATTTTCTCCCAGTGATGGTCTGTTTAAGTATTGTTTATATGAAATAATTTGACATTAAAACGAACTGAAGTCCCAAAGCAAACCGCTGGAAGTGTTGACTCTTGAATAATCATACGCCTATTAATTTACATCATGAAGACATAAAACGACTTTGTACGGAACATAATGGGATAATATTATAATAGAGTAATAATGAATGCTCATTTTGTCATATCAATCTCTTGTTGACTGTGAACTATCTATACTTTTAGGCAGCTTGACTGTGAAACTGTGGAGTAGGCCTATATGTATTCATGGACTATGAATTTGGAAAAATAACGAAAGCTAAAAAAACCATTAAAGAAAACCCAAATTGAAGAAAAAATTTCGACAAAATGAAACTTTTGCTTTTCATAATTCTCTCTTGAAGCTCGTGCCATTAGCCATCTAGGAGCATGCTGGACACAATCGGACGCTATTTGAAATGGGTAAATTTCACTGTAAAAGCCGCATAGTATAATTGTGATTTTGAAAAAGATTGACACAACGACGGACAGCGGATCATACAAATGCGCCAAAACAATGGTTATCTCCGAATGGTAAATTTTGAGCAAAAACGAAAGATTTTACCCAAACCAAATATCTCCCTCCAGTTGGGCCCGCTAAACCTCAAATCTGCTGACTGCATCGACGGTTTCCCGCCACAACGTATGTTCATTATGAATTCCTTGCCCTCTTGCATCATTCATTAAGTTATTTTATTATTGCTTGATAGGGATGAAGTTTTGTTTATGAGACCAATCTTTGCATTAGCTTCCCGGGGTCCAACCTCTGGGAATTTTCCTTTTTGCTTTCATTAGATAAAAATATGTGTAAAGATCCTACGAATGTATCTTGAAACTGAACTTGTCATGGTAACATCGCCACATAAGCTCTAGATTTGACTTGTAAATTGTTCTTGGTAAGGACAATGGTTGAAAAGAACAGTCCTCATAACTTCCTTTCATGGTTTGAATATCACAATTTTGGCTTACCCAATAAGAACATTGTACATCTAAATTTTACTGACATTTGATAAGTTCATTATAAATAACGACAATGTAAATATCCTCATCAAGTTCGAGAATGAAGTTTAAATATAAGTCAAGCATACCTCCCCCACTGAATAGATTTTACTGCAATGCCAAAATCTTCCACAAAGTAACTCTCTGACCCTAAACCTAAAAAACAAGGAAAAATACCAATTACAATCTTTGTCACACCCTTTTCTCGTAGCATCCTTTAATGCAGGAAATACAACTCGTAAATGATATCTTGATGATGTGGAAATCTTTCCATTGCGCTGGTTGTTTTGTCTGGAGGGAATAAACGAAAGCCAAAATGTGATTTTTAGCAAATAAGCCCCCCAAATCTGTGTAAAACAAAGATATTTCGCTTTTGAAAGAGAATCTCTTGGCCAAGAAGGGGCAGGGGGCACGTAGTCCCCACATTTTCCACTCTAGGGAATGGCCCCCACTTTTGGACGTCCTATAATGGGGTGGGGCTTAATGGATCAGTCTTTTTAATGGCCAATGCCTGATGGTCTAACAACTGCCCCCACTTTGAAAATTGTTCTCTCGCTGCTGTATCAAACACGGCTGGTGTTGTTTAAGCATGACTGTTTATGTAGTACAGACTTTTTCAAAGCAGTCATTAAGGTATTATATGACTGTTTATTCCATTTCTGATGTGTGAAATATTTTTTTTTAAAAACTGGGAATAATTTCCTCGTTTGAAACGTTTATTGCAGCACACAAACTGAGTTCGATATCTTAACAATTGTATGGTCATATCACATGGCAACACTTACCTAATACGTCGTCCACTTGCCATGGCCTCTTGTTCCAATTGCTAACAGTCTCGACTGGCTAATCCAGCTATCCTCGCACTCAGCCACGACCTGCTGGACGCCCTCATTATCAAGCCCCATGATGAGTTTCTCACCGACAAGTTTCACCCACAGCTTTCGGTCCTCGGCAAGCCCTCGGCAGATAGACTGGTCGGCAGGCTCCACGAGGGTTTTACATTTCGTGGCTTCTTTGTCGTCGCACCTCTGGATCCGACAACCGGGATTCTTAGGACAGCCGAATTCTGGAAGCAAATTCCACCACAGCGGCAAATTATGCAACTGAGAGCCTCCTTAAGATGACAAAAGATCTAGAGGCCCTGAAATTTGCCGGAAGGCCTTAACATTTATGGAACTCTGGACGTCTGCCTTATTGGCAGGGAACCGGTAGGATAGCAGTTGAGGGAATTGACAATACTCAATGCATGAGGTTATTATCACACCACTGTTAGACCGATGAAGCCTGAAGGATTTGGGACCATACATAGCGTTGCACTGGAGACACTGGTACAAAAGTTACCCTTGGAAACGGGAAAAAATCACCAGGAGAGTATAGTGCCAGCTTCAGGTTCTGGAAACAAAATGGCTTCTCATTTTGTTTATAGTGCAATGTAAAAACAGCCATTTGCTTTCTCCAAAAGCTTACTCAAACATATGTAAATTATGAATGTGCATGAATAGCAGAACACACAAAGCATGCAACAACCGGGGATTCAACTCTGTGTCACCCAGAGGGAGTTTGTGTGGTAAGAACTCTGGATTTCTGTCTCCAGCGGCTGTACAAAGAACCAGATGTGTATTCCAGGCCATTAGACTGTTTGTTTTGCCTATGTTACTAGCCTTTTCATTAAAGAAGATAAAGTCTCACCTGCGATGATCTGTCCCTCTGCCTCATCACTTGACTGTATGGCCACCAGAGCAACTTCAGTGGAGGTCACTTGAAACTTGTAGTTCTTGTTTTCCACTCCCCCGAGGGGTATCCAGTTTGGGTCTGACGTAAAATTAAGGATGAGCGAGTTCCATTTGAATTTTGACAAACATTACGGTTGGACTTATAAGCCCACCAAAAGGAAGTCTATCAACATGATGTCCTCCTATTAGGCTTGGCCTACTGCCAATTTTTCAAAGTAATTACCTTTTTCAACATACGGCCTTACGCTTGCTTAGCAAAACCGTTAGGAACGATGGCTGCCGTAGAGGTAGGGTTCGACGTGCTTTCATTCAAACACATTTTCCTTCAAAACACGTTACCCGAAATTTTGTAAAGGAAAAACGTTGCTGTACACCACCCGGAGCTTTCACGATAAAAACAGATTTGGTAGATACAAAATTCCTGCGGATATCAAGAATTCTATAGACGAAGTAAATCACTACAATAAAGTCCTCAAGATTCTGTGAGTTATTATTAAGAAACATCTAAGGATGAGTGAATGAAGGCTTACAGTGTATTTCCACCACTTGTTCCTCGATGTGCGTAACGGTGACAGATACATCGATGTATTTTGGCCTAAACAAGACGTCGGGAATCTTCCCTCTCAAAAGTTCGCTGGCTTCACCCTTGATACCAAATTCGAACCAGAACTCTTCACTGGTGCAGGCTGGTAGCTTGATCCAGAATGACTTTCTACCACTGTTGAGGATGCCGCTGCGGGTTGCCACTTTCTCACCTAGGATCTGGCCGTCATACTGCATGTAACTCCACTCCTTCTCTATGACTGTGGCAGTTGCAAAATAGAATATCGACGGAATGTCAACAAGGATGTCTTGGTTTGATTGGTCTTGGTTTGTCTAGTTCAGCTGAAACGTCAACTGCTAAAGAATACTGCTGGGTGTAAGTAAATGAGGAAATGATGCCAGCCCAATTCAAAACTCAAGCTGAAGCTAATAGCATATTTTGCTTTTTCTTCTTTGTTACCGTAAATACCTGCACCATAAATTGTTTGTTCATTTATCTTAAATTTAACACAATAACTACTGATCTGAAATAAATTGGCGTAAAATGGTTTACTGACGACAATCATTGAAAAATAAATTACCACACTGTGATCAACAGAGGCAAGGATAGGTGCTTGTGTTTAATTCGCCTCCGTATTTATCGTTCTGGTATTGATATACTGGCTGGCAAAAAAATGAAATATTCAGTATCCAAATTGACATGTCAGGGCCACCGGTCCCTACATGATGGGATGGGGACCAGTCTAACCGTTGCTAAGGAAATAGTGCCCTCTTTTGGCCCAGCTCGAGGCCCATTGACGTTGTGCCGTACTCACTGTTGAACTGACTCTGCGTGATATCCTAACAAATTGTACACAGTTTAAGATTTCTTTTGAATGTAAAGTGAAACCACTGTGAGGCCCATACTCACCAAACGACAACGTCCTTCCCTTGTCCGAGCCCCTTTGCTCAGTCAAGCGGAATATTATGCCGTCCTCGGGGTCCAATGCAAAACTGACACTTGTCTCGTAGCCAGCAATTCCCTCAACCTCCTGGAACTGGCCCGGCTTTAAGGTGATTGTCTTCCTCTCTGTCTCTTCCTTGGTCTCTGAATGAGTAAAAACCCGACTGTGCCAAGTATTTCAGAGCGCTTTAGCCTCCATCCACGTGACGATAAAATTGATTGCGACCGATGGCCTTATTTAGAAATGTTTCTCACCTTTTAGATAAAGAGTTCTGGCTAATTCCCACCCTGAAGCCTATGTTTCAATGTGAAAATGAAATCGGCTATGTTTTTCTTCTACCCGTGTTGTTGGTAATTTGATTCTCATAGATCAAGCTAAAGAAATGACAAAAAAACCTACCAATTATGATCTCTCTGCCGCCGCCATTGCCTACCGTTTGTTAAGAAAGAAGAGGAGAGAAAAATCATGAAGTGCCGCAAAAACTACAAAAGTCAAGTGAAGCTACATGCAATGATATTCGGCAGCAAGGACGACGTCCTTTTGTTTTAAGCCCAATCTTGTTAAAAGTGGGAAACTCCGAAAATGTCAACTCTGTTGTGTAAAATGTAAAAAATCATCTGTTCAGATACTAACCTTGAGATCCATTTTTCTTCTGGTGTTTCTTTCCTTTAATTAAAACAAAGCGACTTAATACGATAAAGTCTAAATTTGATGCACAGGGAATGATGATGCGCGTATCTGCCAAACTTTACATACTCTGCATCCCTAGTTGGATTTCAATTTTTATGTGAAATTGTCCAATAATCTGTTTTCCATTGAATTAATTCCTATCATAGCAGCATCAACTTTATCTTCTAAGAAGCTAACCTTTAGATTTCAGTTTCTTGTTGTGTTTCTTGCCTGGAACCAAAAACAGAAAAACGTGATACGGTAACATGTAGCTTAGTTATTTAACAGTCAACGATGTGAAGTGTCCTTGTCTGCCTATATTGTTCAGCTTGAACAGTTTTATGAGAGACTTCCTGCTAGAAATATTAGAGTATGGAATATATTGTATTGAATTTACAAGTGATCATCAATTATCAAAACAAACTTCTATCCATTTAAAATATTTGAAAATTTACAGTCAGGAAAGCCAGTTGTCTAAGACTTGACGGCCTAGATCCTTACTACTCTGATAAAAAATTAACACCCTTCCTATCCATGTGAAGGGAAGAATATCTTAGTCAAGACAGTTGATGAGAGAAAAACTGTAAGTCAGATTTGAAGCTTTGCATGGTGGAATTTACATGAGATATAGGCTTGCAGGTACACCATGGAATCAGGCCCATTTGAAACAGGAGTGATTCTTAGAAGAACCGGTAGGTGTTTTCTTGCCATTTCGGCAAGGACGCTTTGGCCATCCTCAGGAAAACTGTATAAACCCAACAGATGGTAAAGCAAAAAGCAAAGTTAAATTGAAAAGTTTTACCTTTTCCATTCCTGGAGATGGAAAACGAGAAGCTCCTCGATCTGCCACCTAAAAAATAAAAAAGATGTAGTACTCTTTAATTTTAGTTGCCTCGCCATTATGTCAACCAACATTTGTAACCGGATTTCAATTTTTATGTGAACTTGTCCAATAATTCGTTGTCAAAGGAATTAACCCCTATCATAGCAGCATCAGCTATATCTTCTCAGAAACTAACCTTTAGATTTCAGTTTCTTGTAGTGTTTCTTGCCTGGAACCAAAAATAGAAAAACGTGATACGGTAGTGTGTAGCTTAGTTATTTAACAGTCAGCGATGTTAGGTGCGTCTGTGTGAACATAATTTTTCTTGTCTTGAACAGTGTCATCAGAGACTTTCCGCTAGCATTATGAAAGTATGACAAATCCTGTATTCGATTTACAAGTGATCGTCAACTTTCAAAACATAAATTCTACCCACTACAAATATATGAAAATCTACAGTCAGGAAAGCCTTTTGTCTATAACCTTTCCAGTCTAAGACTTGACGTTGTAAATCATTTTGATGCAAAATTAACACCTTTCCTAAAAATGTGAAGGGAAGAATATCTTAGTCAAGACAGTTGATGAGTGAAAAACTGTAAGTCAGATTTGAAGCTTT